TAGATGATAAATGGACACAAAGATTAGATTGGTCATTGACACTTTTTTGTTTTGTTTATAATCACAAAAAAAAATTGTGTTACTCAAAATTTTATTGAATGTTTTGTGGGTCCAAGATTTCGTTTGACGCTGAAAAGGGGCCCCAGGAGAATAAAGATTGTGAACCACTGGTTTACACCATTATCCGATGGCGCCGCAGAATTTAATCGTAAACCAATGGAACCACTAACCCGATTTTGCTCAAATCACTCTGAAAATCGTCTTTATCAGAGTTTTTTTGATGAACTGGATATTTACCTCATTAATAACACACACATAACGCTAGACTCCAACCATGACATATAAGGAACAAGCTGATTACAGGGCGGATCCCAGAATCGACTGACTTTAATTTTTCGCCAAACAGGACCGCAAACCACATTACAACCGTATAAGGAAGATTAGAACTCTCCGACATTACATCCATTTAAAAGGGGTGATCCGAGAAAACAAGACGCATTGGAAATAGTACTGCCAGTAATAATAATGAAACTGGCGCTCTCGTTTTTCTCTGCTCAGTCCTCAAAGGTTTATGACTTCACGTCAAGCATACGCCGAATCGTCTGAGCCACACAAAATTCTTTTTGCGGTGCTGGCCGCATGTTCGCCACCTCTGATTTAGCTAGAAAGCAAGCGAATCTAATTTCCAACGTCGTTCATCAGCAATTAACCAAAGCGATGAAATATGTCTGGTAAAATTTTATTAGTCTACGCTCAAAGCGTCAACGATTCCTTCGAGCCCAAGGGATGCGTCCCAACAGGTTTGGCCACATTTGAAGTGATTCTCCTTCTAAAGTTGTTATTTGTTTGATAAAATGTGGTTGTTTTACGTTTATAATCGGTTGATTATCTTTAATCTAAATCTGAATCCATGAATTTATTACTTCATTAAATTGATCCGTTTATATCAGAGGAGTTCGTTAAGCTGTTTGTGGTAGTCCGCGAAAAGGTTTTCATTTAATGAATAACAATGCAGATTGATATAAATGCACAACTTAAAAATCATACATTTTCAATTAGAATTAAATTTAAAATAATATTACATTTCAAATTATAAGGCACGAGTAAAACAAAAAAAACTTTATTTAATAAACAGTCTCGACATAGTTCCGCTTGAATATTATTTATAATCACGTCCTAGTAAGATATAACCAGATATAACTACGTGGCCTACCAGAAATAACAGTGGCTCCGAAACTCGATTCACTAAAAAAAATTCAAAAGTCGGGGCACACTCATTATATAACAAAGTTCTATATATATATTTTTTTGAAACTTCAATGCAATGAATGTACCTGCTTTTGATCGCTCTAATGCTTTTTCTGATTAAGCTTTATTTGTGGTTTAGTTATTAGTCATTTGTACATATCCACTCGACCACAAAAAGTGTGAAAGCAGCTCGATCGCTTTTGAAAGATTATTTGAATGAATATAAACCAGATATGAAACTTTATGTACTTGAAAATAGGCATTGTGGGAAGTACCTTAAAATAATTCTACTACCCTGAAGCAACTCTAGATTGTTTCTATAAAAAAAGGAACATAATTGACTTGGAAAACGAAATTTCTATATTCCAAGGTCTAGCGAACGTACAATATTTGTATTGACCTCGAGTAGTTTTCAAATGCGTTTCTAACAGTTTCTTAGCCGATACAATCACTTATTCAGGTATCAACTTTCATTCACGATTTTTATCACGATTAAAGTGGTATGGTATTATGTTACAACAAGATATCTTCATTATCATATATTTTGGCAATGGCGGCAATTGACGTCAATTATTCTACCAAAATGGTTTCGCAATTGTGAATGTTTTCAAAGTCTCTGAATAAAGTTCATGGGACCAGCAACACATCATAATCTATTGTGTTCCGATTGGATCCAGATTTCCGCCACTATATTTCAGAATGGGGAATGTCTCTTATTGCATTTATCATTTCACATTCAGATATAGAGCAAAAAACAGTCCGGTATTCCAGCATTTTCCATATGTCAGATTTGCTTGTTCCAAAATGCTATGCTCTTTCGAAAATGTTTTCGAGAAAAGACAAGTCTACTGCAAACTTCTCGGCGTAGTTTGATGTGATTGGTTTTTGCAAAACAATTGAACATGTGTTATACCAAGTAATATTTTCGTTATCATAAGTTGGGTTTTGTTCACCCCAAAAGTAACGTAATTTTCGATATACCGTGCCTCCAAACAATTGGAGAATATATGCTATAGTTTTACTCCAAAATCTTCGAAGACTATATCTAATTGGGAATCTCCGCATGTGTTTTGGTCGGTTCCATTACATTTGAACCCACGTACATTTGAACCCATGACAATTGCACCGGTATGCTATTGCACCTATGGAATTTTTTTTGTTTCACGGATAGTTAAACCCATACTAACCCTAACCCATGGGTTTTAGCACCCGCATATAGATTGAACCCGTGGATATACGCATGGGTTCAAATGTACATGGGTTCAAATGTACGGTCATCGTTTTGGTCCTATCATGAAACCAATATTTGTCTTAGAATCTCTTAGCTTCGGCATAGCGCTACTTTAGCAGTATCACAGAGGCCAAATTCGAAAGTCAAAATCTTACCTTGATCAAACAGATTACTTACAAGTTTGATATAACAAAGAAATAATTAGGATCAGTAAATATATCAAGTCAATGATATTATAGGTATATATAATGATTTTTCACGGTGATCGGCCTCTAACATAAACAGAAAGGGAAATAGACGGTATTTTTTGAAACACGGTCGAGTGTAATCCGCCTTCATGCAGACATAATGTGGGTGTAAGCACCCGTCGAAAATGTAAGGCTGAAATTGATCCAAGGTTGTTTGAAGGAAGTTCAATTCGAATAGCTGATAAATGGACACAAAGATTAGATTGGTCATTGACATTTTTTCTGTATTGTTTATATTCACATAAAAAAAAAATTTGCGATACACGAAATTTTATTGAATGTTTTGTGGGTGTAAGATTCCGTTTGACGCTGAAAAGGGGCCCAAATGAATAAAGATTGTGAACCACTGGTTCACACCATTATCCGATGCCGCCGCAGAATTTAATCGTAAACCAATGGAACCACTAAACCGTATTGCTCAAATCACTCTGAAAATCTTCTTTATCAGAGGTTTTTCGATGAACTGGATATTGTTCTCATTAACACAAGTATGAAAATGGGGAAATGAATCATACAGATTTTAATTTCCCCTGGTTCAGAAGTGACTTGGCGCCGCGGACGGTTACAATTGTTCGCAGATGTGCAAATAAGCAGTAAGAAAGGTAAGGGTATCTAGGTGGATGGGCGAGTATGCATTAAACATGTTGTAACATGGTAATGATAAAAAAATATTGGTGATTTTTTTTTTAATTTCTTTACATATACTGATTGTCGTCAGTAGGGCTGGGCATTTTCGAATACCTGATGATTTCAGAATCGAATCGAATAATTTTTTCGAATCGAATCGAATCTCGAATACTTGAAAGGTATGAAATTGTATGTAACTTTCTTATTATTTTAGGTCTTCTAGACACATAAATTACTGGAAACATAGAATACATCACTGACAATAAAAAAAAAAACGTTTTCATCAATACCTCAATACAGAAAAGAGTCATATGTCAGAATTGTGTTGAAAAAATATGGCTTCAATGATAAAAAAAATGAGAAATTTACCTCGACCATTGGCGGAAAGAGTAAAACAAGATGGCGTCGATTCAAAAATTTGCTCTCAACCGATTCGAATATTCGATTCGAAATGCCCAGCCCTAGTCGTCAGTATCTATTGTAGACTGAGAGTGTATATTGAAGTCGATTGCTTCATTTTTCCTGAGTTTCAATAAATCAGAGCAGTTTTTGTGAACTATAGGAGGGAAGCGGAGAGCAAAAAGTTGGATGTGATAATTTGAATAGGTCTTTTAGTAAGGGAGTATTGTTTTACATTTTAAACAGAAATCTACAATTGCTTTGAGCTAAGGAAATTCATTTGTTTCCCTGGATATAAACTGTATAATTTATTGGCGTTGGGGTGGGTCAATGTTTCAAGCATACCTTATTTGCAGGATTTCAGAGACGCTGAATGCTTATGCATTAACCCTCACAATCTTCGGAGTAACAGAGTTCTGGTTTTAACACGAGCATCCAGTGGCAAGTGTCCTTGATCTTAGCAAATGCTTAATATGTACACATCAATCGTTACCTAATGCAGATAATTATCTAACTGAAACAAAGAAAAAACTGTATCAAAGTGATATTTTGTCTGTTTATATTTCAGAATGTATATTGTCTGTGCCACAAAATCTTCTATATATGGGGTAGCCAAGTGGGGGCCAGAAAAAACATATTAAAAAATTGGGAGTCACGCCCAATAGAAGTACGTGTGATACTACACTATACCAGACCCCATCTGTATTGGAACAAAGTAACTTAGCGACATCAGCGACTCCGATCGCTCATGGTTTACAGTGGCAGTGACCCGACTAACAATCGCTATTCAAATGACCTATGAATGACTGAAACTTCACCGAACCCCTCAAACCGTAAATATATACTACTACCCCTCGACAACAGTTTGAGCCAACTTATTCTATAACTTATTTATTCTATTCGTCCTGGGCTCTTGAACATGAAGGATACATTTTTCTAGCGAGACAGCGAGCACAGCTAAGTTGTAACATTGTTTATCTGCAATTAACTCAAAATTAGTAAACATGGCGGACAATCTTTTATTAATTAGCGCTCAAAACACCAAGAATACTGATTGAGGCGATTTTAAACATTATTCATTTGGGTCGCCACGATCGCGGCAGTTTTTTAGGCCTGATTTGAAGCTGAAACATTTTTGCTGTAAAGAAACGACAATATTATAAAACGCTCGTACGAGAAATCTATGTTAGCTAAAGTAAAAGAAAGTTGATAGAGTTAGACAGCTTTGAAATTAATAAAATAACTCATTTATATTGAATAACTTTATTCAACAAATATTCAGTATCCTTCGAACGCTCTACTAAAAATTGAAATAAATATATTAACATCTGCTTCCTCCTTCGATGATCGAATGGATTCCCAGCCTTATTTCTTTCTCTACAGGGTTGTTTACGTGAAATGTTTATTTTCAACTACACTGGTTTTTGGTAAGGATAAAGGTTTGGGGACAACAACAGTCATGTAGCCTCTTATTCTGGCAAACTGGGGAGTTGCATCCAGTACATTTTCTAACCGAAATAACTCTTCTAAGAGTGTTAGTAAGTGATCACTAGAACACTTGGAATCCATGCGTGAATTAAAAATATTTCTTTATCAGATTTCAAGATATAGGGTGATATGATTAGATATAGTTAAACAACACTCAATAAAGTATATAGCATATTGCAGCAAAGATGCATTTGAAAAAAAGGAAATTGTAGTTCTATTCAACATCCAGTGCATGATGGATTGGGACGTTCTGTTTGACCGCACTTCGACTGTGGTCGAACCTGATAAAAAAGCAAAGAATTTCAAAAAGGTATTCACATTTGTTATGTGCATCATTTACGACTGAGAATCTAGCAGCCTTCATAGAGAGTTGATATGATGATACAATGTGAATACATTGGGGGGTGTTTAAACCCAATGTTTGGGCGGGAGCAACACAGTGTCCACCCCAACTTGTACTTCATTCATTTATGCCTGATTTATGCTATGATTAAATTTTGTAGGCAAATTTTGGACAACTGTTGAATTATCAAATCAGGTGACTAATAGTAACTATAAGCAAATTTTGTTCACAAAAACGAATATAAGCAATATCTTCCAGCTCCGTGAAAACTGCTAATAACGTGGTGTAATAAAAAAAAACTTTTCGACATGACCTTTGGACATTTGTTGTAGCGCAACCGATTGGACTTAGCGATACTTGGCGATAATATTCCGTTACTATCAAGTAAACAAAAACTAGAAATGCTGGTTGGCACATAATAAAAAAATAAATAATAAATAGTAATAAATTTTAACTTACCTGTTGATACTTATCACCTCCTACGTTAAACCAGCAGCTTCTAGTATCTCTGCATAATCCGCCCATTCTCCTACACTTCCATTGGGTCCAAACATATGTCGTTGCTGAAAAAAAGTTATTGGATAAACAATCATACAAATATGAACATGTACTTTATTTATCAATGTATATATATATATAGTTTTAAACTTATCTACCTACGTTGTCAGATACGTAAACGTGTATTCACTGATTATTTCATTTCACCTTAGATTTGATACTATTATGATGATCTCACTGATTTTCAAAAACGAATTAGACCAACGATAGTTTGTTACATCCACCCAACTTGCACTTAAGCGCAGACATTTGCTATAAGTTCTCATAGGAAAAGATCTACATTTGCACGTATGGACTCTCTGTGTGTTTTGTTATTTCAAAGCACTACTAGTACTGAGAATTCAGTTCTGAAGTTTTTAAAACATAATTCACTCACGACACTGTGTGGGACCACATGGTACGAATCTTTGTGTAGAAGCTTTGGCATCGCCACATAATATAACTGGAGCAGACCGACCGTCAGGGAATCGACAACGTCTTATTTCTTCCCGAAACAGATTTGGACCACAAGATGCTTCACATTGTGTAATAGGTGACCAATCGGTCCAGTACGCATCACCTGAAACTTTAGGTAAAATGACGATATTATGATACTCAGTAGCATATTTGCACTGAACCAAAAATTATTTTTATAGGTTATTTATTGTTTGAGATTTCAGTGCTTACGATTTAGGATTAGTCAATGATAGCCATAGAACACACCTGGTGGCTGTGGAAGACATTGAGATGGTCTGATGCAGCGATCACTTTTTTCATCTGGCTTTACCATTCCAGAAGGGCAGACGCATTTTTTGAAATTGCATCCACGTTGACATCCAACGGGATTTCGATTTGCACAAGTAGGCTGACACATAGATGGGCAGAGTTGATATATTTTTTCGTTTTCGCAATTCCCTGAAATGTTAAGTTTTTTAAATATTTTAAATGCCTAATTCTACAAAATTAATTATGTTCATTACGCGGAGGAGACGTTGGGCAAACTTCTATATGAAACCAGTACTTCAGCGCTGAAACATTATGTCCGGTATTTCGAAACATAAAGTCAGTAGGTAAATTGGATTTGACAACATGTTCCACGTCAAAGTAGAAACTTTAGGCAAATTGTTTGTTAAAGTAAGGATTCATTTCACAAAAGTGGTTGGTTCATGCCTAATTTTTTCTTGAAAATCACATAAGATGTTGGTCAATTATCTAGTTTAAGGAAACGGAGAAATATATATACGACGTAATAAAAGTTGCTGCTTTTCAGGCTCATTAACACTTTCGATGCCAAGGACGTATATATACGTCATTTGGCGCCAACCGTTCCGTGCCATCAATGCAAAATGACGTATATATACGTCATTCGAAAAGGAAAAAGTTTAATAGATAGAAGGTCGAGTTCAGGTATTTGCCGTCTTTTTTCTTCTCTCTCTCTCTCTTGTTGTCAAGTTGGGGGGAAAGAATGACGTCGTCAGCCAATCGCGTCATTCAAGAAATACCAAGATGGAAGGAGGGTCTGCCATGAAGTAAATTATCAACTTATTTAGCATGGCCGAGGTACATATTAGCCGCAAATTATCATCAAAAATTTGTACGAGACCGACTGACGCCAACACACGGTTTCAACTTTTTACGGTGAAATGATTGAAAGGTGTGAGAAGAGATGATAATATTATCAATCATGTTACGAAGATGTAGAAAAACATTACTAAACCGGGAAATAGTTCGAATATTTTTATATGCATGATCGTCGTCTTATTGGCAGGACGATGAAATGATTCAAAATGTTGGTATTTTTGAACGTTTTTTTAATTTTTTATCATTTTTGGGTAACGGATTGACGGACATCTGCAACGAAAGCAAATTTTATCGTCCTGAGAGGTGAAATGTTACATTTTGAAATAATAAAGTGAGAAATTGATATTATTCGGAACATATATTTTTCTACTTTTCAGTGAGATATGATCCGAGATATAGTAATTTAGTGGGAAATATATTACCAATAACACAGAGCCCCTCGTATGCTTTCAGCTCATATTGAATTACTTCCGTAGCTATTGTATAACCATAATTAGAGCAAAATATGCAATCCTACGACTTTGTGTCGGATGAACAAGTTCAATAAGCAGCCATGGCGTACTGATTACGTAGCTACGCAATAGCGATCACGTGTCTGGCGCCACGAAGACGGGACTACGTGCAGTCGAGACGACTTGCGTAGCAAATTGCGTGAGATGACAATTTCGGAAAATCGTGTTCTTGACAGATCAACTGACGAATTTCGATGAAGCTTTAAACCTTTTTATTATGTCAACTTAGAGACACCGGATGCGTATAATGAATATTGAAATTGCATTTGGAAATACTTCATTTGCACGCCAATATTAGTTCAAATATCCACTCAAATAAGTATTTGCTCGCTATAAATACCAGATTGAATGAAATGTTTGCCGAGGCAAGTAAAGACTTCGAATTTCATCGTTTACTGACTGAACCCACCAAATCTGGAAGCGCCCGACGAAAACTCAGGAGCAATACTAAGATACAAACGCACCTGAAATGTATTACGCATGTTTCGGTATTATCCGACACATCAGTCGTAGGTGAAAGAACTCACCTACACATGCGTATCTTGTCGGAATTGCTCTCTCATGCTATTATAACATAAGTTGGAGATAACTTGTCTTGATCTCTCATTGCGATAAAGATTCAATTCGAACATTTTATTCAGCAATCAGAATCATTTTATTATACGAAAATATCAAATTCGAACAAAGAAAACAAAATCGTTTACTAGCATAAAAATATATCCTTCATTCGCTATATATTCACATTGCATATTCATACAACTGTAACACATGTGTATCTCCATGACCTCGTCACCATTACAATACGTCGAAAGTATTGAAATCGGCCTCTTAGCTTGCCATAGTAGTGCGAGTGATTCAACAACTGGATACATTTTCAATGTAAAATAGATTATGGTAATCCAAACTTGGAACAACTTCCACCCGGCGTCACAAAAACTTCGAATTTAGTTTTGCAACTAATGGAAAGTCATCTGGATAGAGGATATCACGTATTTGTTGATAGGTATGTTGATTATTCGGTATTGATAAGACAAATTAGATAATTTACGTCTCGGCGCCATACTGCGTTCTATTTTAGATAACGAATCATTGTCGGATATATCAATCAATTGCATAAACTGTTTTATCACAACCAATTTTTAATAATATTCATTTTTAATTTGGACTCTATAACTCTGTCGCATTAGCCGAGGAATTGCAGCGAAGGAAAACATCGATAACGGGTACAGTCATGGCAAACCGGAAGGGACTTCCAGCAGAAATAAAAACAAAACTAAAGAAAGGGGAAATCATCTCACTACGAAAAGGACAATTACTCGCACTACTATGGCAATATAAGAGGCCGATTTCAATACTTTCGACGTATTGTAATGGTGACGAGGTCATAGAGATACATATGTGTTACAGTTGTATGAATATGCAATGTGACTACTTTGTTTATTTTGCAATATGTTATCCTTGTGAGTGACAATAATTGGCCATTATTAATGTTATTGGAATATATAGCGAATGAAGGATATATTTTTATGCTAGTAAACGATTTTGTTTTCTTTGTTCAAATTTGATATTTTCGTATAATAAAATGATTCTGATTGCTGAATAAAATGTTCGAATTGAATCTTTATCGCAATGAGAGATCAAGACAAGTTATCATCAACTTATGTTATAATAGCATGAGAGAGCAATTCCGACAAGATACGCGTGTGTAGGTGAGTTCTTTCACCTACGACTGAAGTGTCGGAATGAACGATAACTGATGACACCGCTTGGTTCGCCCCTTTCCCGATGAATCAAAAACTAAATACGAGAGAGAATGAATAGGAGAGAACTCTCTCGTTTTCACCTTGGCACGGAACGGTAAAATTGAAAAAACTGATCTTGGCATCGAAAGTGTTAATACATATACTGATATAGCGAGTTTTTGGAGCAACTGAAATATTTGTCTGTTCGATATTTACATATCTGCTAACAAACATTGGTTAACCAGTAGACTACTGAATATAACTCACGTGGACATGCTCCTTCTTTAACACATTCCTTGTTTTCGAGACTTAATTGAATGTAACCAGTGGGGCATCCGCAAGTATATTCAGACGTACATTGCACAGAACACGGAAAAGGTTTTTCCGTGCATGTTGCTGGACATTTTGATTTGCACCTCATCAATACTCCGGGAGCTTTACAATCTGTGGATGAAAAATATTTATTAGAATCTCGTACCATGGAAACTGTTTTTAGGCCTATAACATATACTATTGGTCTTTTAGGAGCTCTCTTATGGATCAGGAAAAAAAAATTACCAGATGATGTTGATGTTGTCTCTGGTTTTGTAATAGACGGACGAGGCTCAGTTATCGTTGAGTCGCACGTATTTATGATTTTACGTAGATATACATCACTGCGAGTTGCCAATTTGTATACTTCTACTAAATCATCTCTCCAATCTGATTCGGGACTTTCTTTTTCACAAAAAGTATCCACATACAGCATAGGAACGAGGCACCATTGTTCTTGCGGTATCGTAGGTACTGTTCTGAATATTGCGTAATATTTTAGCGGAATTTTTGTATTATAGGGCATCATACACACTGCTGTAGTCTTTAAAATTCTGTTCGTTTTAAAAAATATTTTGACAAATTAATTAATCTAATTAATCTTTCTTTATACTTTCATTTCTTGCAATTAATATTTTTCAATTACATGACAGAATTATATCAAAATTTGAATAAAGTAATTTGAGAGAGCATATCACACCACATACTATATCTCTTTAACATGTAAATTAGGTAAATTAAAAAATAACGATTTTTTGATATTACCGACAATAGGAGTAATGATTCTGAAGAAAGATAGAGACGCTATTTATATCGAATCCGTTCCATGAAGGAAATTGACTAGTAGAAACTTGAACATTTTGTACTAAGCAAGTCGAAAATGATTTCTTTTTTATTTTGATTTCTCCATGCTTTTCGTCGCTACCAATCGATTTCATCTTTCTTGGACGCACTTCAGGTGCTGAAAGTATAATAGTAATTTTGAATTACACCGAGAAAGAAGTTGATAGTGCTAAGTGCGCCTCGAAAATTAACGAAATTGTGTTAAACACATATAATATATGATTGAATATTTTACCTGATGTTATTTAATATAAATGTTTTGTTGCTTTTTATTTCAAATGTTGTGCTTACGTATCAATAAATTACGTTTATTTTCTGTTAAGCAGTCTCAGCCTCTATTACGTAATTGTTACGTAACAATAGAGGTAGACACTACTTGCACTTCACTACTTGAAAAGTGTTCGCGTTTTTTTCGGAACTCCTAGTTCCGACTCCAACATTTAAGGTTAAAATCAGAGTATTTACCCCAGCAAGTTCCGTCCCAGTCACATATACATTGTGCTAATGGTGTCTCAAATGGAGAGTCATCCTTTAGCAGAATTGGTATTGCATTAATCCAGCATGAGGCAACGTCGTAGATTCCTCTACAAATTAATTATAAAATGTACGCTAATGACGTAATTGAAATTGGATAATAAAAAAAAACAGTAAACATCTCTTTTCGAAAATACTTTATCTTTCCCGAAATGTACTCAATATGCGAATTCTCGAGGTGAAAAGAATTTCCTATATGCGATTAAACCTATTTATACTCATTTAGCAATATTCTTGATAAAACCTAAATTATTATGTCAACGTTAGTGCCATATTGTTACAATCATGTCGTATTTTTTCAATCTAGTTAGTACATGATTCAAAAAACAAACATAAATTATGCTTGAATAACTTACGCACAAACCCTTTCTCTTATCCTTTTGTACCAAACACTGTCTCTTAGAACATATACCACAACACTTCGCAACGAAGGTAAAATTCCACTGGACGCTTGGCGAAGTTGGGGGCAGTTTCCCATAAAATTTGCGAGATCCTGATCGAAATTAATCGCATTTCGTCTACTACATCCTGTTTATATTGAAAAATGCATTCTTTTATACTCGTATTGCGTATAAGCAGATTGTATATATAATAAAATTACCTAACACCGCATAGTTTGTCAGCAAAAAGGTATTTTAGGCAAATATGTTGAATACATGAATGTAAGTGTGTGTGGAATGTGAAGGGATATTGTGTAGTGAGTTCAATGATACACGACGACATCTTTACAAATAAATCAACATCAAATTCTTACAGAAAAACCGAAGCAAAAAAAATCATATTGAGCATCGCAATTCTAACCAGTCATTATTGTCATTGTATTTCAACACAAATTGTTCGTGATTTAAGAGGCATAGATTTTTGCTTTTCAAAAAATATAAAATCAACTCAAAACTCAATTAAAATATTCAAATCAATGGTACTTTATCTTACCTTCTGTAAATTTGCAACAAGCGGCAAGAGAAACAGCAAACACCACCAAACTAATTTTCATATTTCTTTCTGATATAAGTAGGCTTATATATAGATACTGTTATTCAAACCCGGTTTCAGCCGATATTTAGGAGTATCATACGCTATGATCAATAAGTAAGTATATATATATATATGTATCAGGTTGGTCGTTAAAAAAGCAGAAAGTATTTAGGTCAAATGCAATCACGTATAAAATGCGTGCTAACTCATTTCTTTCTCGATACGTTTTTATTTAGTTTAGGTTCTGGATTGTTTTCGGTTGATACCTTTTGGGTTGTACTAGATTAAAACACTGCTCTGAAGTACACGGACGACATATTGAGTCTTTAATTGAGCTGTAAGTATGGTATAACATATTATGCATTTGAAAAAACTTTGTAAAAAGTTATTGTTTGTAAAGTAGTTGTTTGACAAATATTCTGTTTTTCTAACGACCACTCTGTATATACATATATATATAATTGCAATCTAAAACTGCATTGGTATGATTACTTCTATCTTTCAACTTAGAAGAAGATATAATGAAACAATCCTGAGATATAAAACTAAGTGGAGTCTTTTAATTATCTAAAACTTGTTATAGCATATATCGACCCTTAATACTCAACAGTTAGTAATAACAAATTTCATTCTATTCATAGATTAGGATAAATGGCTTCAATGACGAAGCATTGGATTTCCGTATGGCCTGCGGGCAGGCGTCATTTAATATGAATATAAATCTTACATCAAACAGTTGTGTCCATTACCATTTATTGACTTTTCGATTTTTTGATAAATAGAAGTTGTAATGGGTGCTACAACGAAAACATGCTCACGTGGGCTACGATTCTTGCAATCGAATGTAAAAATGTAGACTTTCGCTCTAAATCGTTATACGATTCATTAAAATATTATGCTTAAAAACAAGTAGGCCTACACATCTCTGTAACGCCATTATCACTTTTCTTTTAGTCGACAACATCTAACAGCAGGCATATCTGATATACATTTGTTTACCTGGTATAGCATGGTGTAACTGGTATAGCATGATTTATATATAGAATCTTGCATGAAATCTACTTTCTCAATAGGAGTCTTCACATCAGCCCACTAAAACTGTCAGAAATAATATTTTCACAAAATATAAGTCTGTAATTGGTTCATTCTATAACGTCTTTGTTCACAAATAGTAATAAATTGATAGTAGTTTAATGGTACGGCGATTGTTGGATTTTGAAAATCTTCGAGGTACGATTAGCGATGACCTTTTTACCATCGTCTTTTATTGGAAACATCCTTGAATGCAAACCGCGTAGAACCGGGCTAGTAAAACCCGTATTCTGTATTCAAGTATTTTTCTCGAAAGTTTCCATTCACTCTCAGATATGTGCTCTACCGCAGTAATTCTCCAAGTGGTCGATATCGCCTCCAAATGATGAATGAGATGAAACAGGGGCCGAAAGCTCCGGAGGGGGCAAAAAGGGAACGATAGCGCATTTTCGAATAGTCAGAATTAGAATTATTGCAAAATTTGAATTTGAAATTTGAAAATTTGAAAAATTGTTTATGTGCCGATGTGGACTTGCCGATGTGGACTTGAGTAATATTTCCCTAATTTTGAGTTTATGAGTTTTTTTTTTCAAAATGCGCCTCGCCAAAAAAATGTTTGTGAATCAATACACTCCTACTATCTCACTGTGAGGAATATAACAGCAGAGATCGCTATCGAGGTGTACTCATTCCCTTCGGCTTTGTATCTGTCATACCGGACTGACAGACCCCTATTCACTATTTATGCCAATAATTTGAAAATCCGCCTGACTTTAAGTTTGCCGAAGGAACAAAATATCCCGAAAGATTTATAAATGAAAGTAGTGCGAAATTGGTGGACTCATTCTTAAGGTCTTCTGACAGTGGCGTATCTAGAGAAAATGGCACCGATGGCAAAGTTTGAATATTCCCCCCAAACCCCCCAAATATTTTCCGGTGGTCCCTAAATCAATAATACCGTACCGAATGTAATCTTTTGTTGTATATAGGCACATCGATTTATGCCCAGCAGTTTCTTTCGGTGTGGATGAACGTTTAAAAATATATTGATTTTCTTTCTGATTCTCTAGTAATAAGAGTGTTTACTGCCCCTCAAATATCTAAATATCAAGTGAAGTTTAGTTGGATATTGAACGACCTAAAATAGCTTTCTAAACTTCAGATAATTAACGCTATATTCAGCCAGACTACACACAACTTCTTTTCTTTCTATTCGAAACTACCGTGGGCACGACACACAGTCTGATACCACTGCCCTAGGGAACTCGAACCCGCACATTGCAATCAGAGATCTCTTGCAACTTAGAGTTTAGATAATAGTTGATCTCGCGTTGTTTACTTCAATTTTAAACTTTTTATAATAAATCATGTACGGCTGCATGTGTACCTCAATGGAACCAGAAAAATAAATATCCGACTGGAAAAGCACAATAAAAACTGGAATCAAACTTTATGCCAGATAGTTTAAAAGTCCATTTTCAAATCAAGGTTTCATTTATTTCAATAGACAAATTTACACTACTTTTATAAACTTCAAAAACATATAATTGGTGATTTTGATTTGTTGTACATCATCTTCAATAAACTTGCCCTACAATTCAATGAATATATGGCAGTGTAACACTCCAAAAAGTAGCACAAATTAACATTAAACCAAAACTTTATTAGTAGTTCGATCTAGTTAGTTTATTCTTGTCCACTTTTCTTTTGCCGCCATCTAACCTATAAAATGTCAAATTCAAGTTTTTAATTGAATTGAATGACATGGTCAAAATTTTTTGTTATAATTATTTTTTTTGTTATATTATGATCTCAAGTTTACTTACGTGTCAGATCTTTTGGTGCTAAAACGATAAAATATGAATTAATAAAATACATAAACTTCAAACGGAATATTTTCAACCCCAAACTTGTTTTGAATAATTCCTGAATTTTAAAATGTTTTGAATTGTAAAGAACATATTCAATGCGAATACTAATTTCGCCTGAATGACAAATTGTAAAATGTCAGGAATACATTTCATGTTTTTTGTCTGACTTGATGTATATATACTTTAAAATATACAGTACTATAATAATAATATTTAATTGCGTGCACTTACGACATGGTGGCAGAAAACAAACTGAATTTCTTTTATCGCTTCCTTCACAGAATGAAGACGGCACTGTTTGTCCATTTAACATGCATGACCTTTTTTCATTTCTCAAACTCAGCCCACAGGTCGCTCCACATGGTCTATTCTGTCGCCAAGTGCCCCAGTTAGCCCCCGTTCCACCATCTAGAATGGTACGAATTTTAAACATAGTCTGTACTCATTACCCGGAATGTGATGGTATGTATTTGTAATAAGAAGGGGACGTAGCATTTGGACCACATCGGCTTGTACAAAAACTGGCGCTGTAATGTTAATGTAAATTCGATAATTACGAATAAAAGGATAACAAACGTCTAGACGTCTACCAACAAAAAACGTTTTTTGAATTATTGAAATCTAAAATGGTGCCTTCAACAGGCATCCTGTTTTTAAGGGTAAGATAGTTTCTGTAAAATGAATTGGACAAATGAAGATTCCTACCGCCTTCTGGACATTTAGCAACCGCTCTCCCCAAAGGACTGTTTTGTCTGGCGTAGGCTTTGAACACATTTATCTGATCTTTTCTCCAATTTGAGTTAGGTCCTGACTTCGGACATAAACTGTCGATGTAAAGTAGATCGAGCTGACACAAATGCTTCCGAGGAATGTTAGGAATCGTTCTGGGCGTAGAAAATTTATATGATAACAATTCAGTCACATTAACATGGGAATCAATTTATAAAACAAAAGATAAAGTTGTAATCAATACCCTGCATATTTTGTCAGCAGCAGCTTTAAGATTTCTTCCATTCCCCTCAACCACGTGCAAAAAAACAATTTAGACCAATTTAGAAAGAAATGTACTACAAACTTCTGGATTGTCAATTATGAAGAGAAAATTACAATTAACAATGGAAACCAGTAATGTTACACTCCAGAATAATGCTCTGAATGTTGTCATGCAATTCTTGGCCAATACTATTAAATTTTTTATATATATTCAAAATACCCCTAATTCTGTGTGGTGTGATAGTTAGTTATCGGTGCGTTTGAGCTGAATTATTATATCCGCAAGATGCTGCTCTTAGATGACCTATTTATTCTCCTCTCTAGCGCACAATACTATTTTCGTGATACAGTACTGTCTACTCTACACTCTACAGTTTGTGGGGAGAAAAAAACAACTATTCACGATGAGGAGAAGGCCTTGTGCGTTGTACAAAGTTGATCGTTTACATTCTTGTGTGTGAAATATGTATTGAACTAAGCTTCTTCTGAGATTTGCTTGTTTTCAATTATTTAGTATTACTGTTACTGCATTGAATTTTGAATGATGACGTTTGGAAAACTAGTTGTTTACAACAGGGCATTTATATGTAGTCGTAGTCCAGTAAAAATTTAGCCCTTGTCCATAAAGAGAATGGAACGGTCTATAAAGAGCGTTGGATTAACATAATTTTTTGTAAACCAAGGAATTTTGGGTTATACTTATAAACTTTTCAAAACATCATCCTATTGGAGACGAAAATAGTGAATGAAATGATGAGTGAAATACGCACTATTGTTCTGATCATACTTCTACATTGGATATTGCTGAATCTACAGAATCAGCTTCCCTAACTCCTTTAAGGTAGTATTAAAAATACTTCACACCTAATTATATCAAATCATACAACTTCACCTGCAATACGAATAATGGTCCTGTAGAAAAATAGAAATCGATTTTGCATCAAATCTTTGTAAAGACCGGTATTGTCCTCTGAATAGTCTTACATTTCGATCTACGCATAATAAGAAATTGCTCTGCGCTTGTCGTTTCATTCGTAGATGTTTTTCGTCCATCAAGTCAGAATCTATTGATCTTTTTTTCTTCCCAGGAGGACCTTACATTTACAGAGAATCATTTACAATCATTTGGTCATATAAAATGAAATTGTACAGGGCTCCATGATACATATTTAATTTATGTGTAGGTGCAAGCTATTTGCAGTGAGTCTTTCATTTTACTTTGTGTCTTCCATGATGTTGACACAAGCACTATAAATAGAGCCGTCTGAATATTAACATGATCCACTATTTACTAATGTAAGTTTCCATACTATTAAAAAAAGAATTTCCATATTTTTTATATTTGTATTGGATGTTAAGATTATATCAAATTTTCCTAATATATAATCAACAGGAGTTATATAACGCTTACTCCAACATCCGTCTGAGTCCCATTGACATATGCATTTCGCAGTAGACTGTCGAAAAACTGAATCGGCGTTTAAGAGTAAAGGCAGCGCACCAATCCAGCAGCTAGCTTCGTCATTGTCTCCACTAAAATATTAGGATAGTTATGGTGATGTAATGACACAGAAACAAGGTATACAACTCAACTCATCGATCAAAACTATGATACATGCGGAAACGTAAAAATGTGTATATTAGAACTATATTAGAGACGAGACGAGAACGTACAACGAAACACAAAAAAAGATAGTTTTGGGGTCAGATAGTAGGTATTTGATTATTAATACAATACTTTAAATATGCGCATAATTGATCGAAATATTCCTCTCATTAATATACTAAGAAAAATAATAAAAAATGGGTGCTCCCGAAATATGTGCACCAAGATGCCGTACAACCTGATAACTCTAACCTAGTACATATACTATGTTCAGGTTGTGCGCCATCTTGGTGCACATATTTCGGAAGCACCCATATGCGCACCAAGATGGCGCACAACCTGAATATAGTATATGTACTAAGTTAGGGTTATCAGGTTGTACGCCATCCATGTGCACAAACTTCTGGAGCGCCAAAAATTGAACTATTGTTTTTTTGTACCTGGCCTTGGCCTTACCTACTTGGAAAAAATAACGGTAACAACTTGGTTGTTTGTTAGTTGTTTACTGGTCTGCGCGTTGGTAAGTAATCAACGCGATTCGCAATCACATAACGCAAAAACGGTTGGTTGATTGCTAAGGCGTTAAGATCGTCCTTTCTTGTTTACGTATTCCGTTTAGTTTGAGCGCGGGCTTATTTACATAAAAGTTCCACTGCAAGAGTAAATAAGTAAATAAACATCACTGTTTCATATTTAGTATGCAGCATGTAAGGCACAAAGTTTTTTTTCAGATATTTGCTGGTATCAGTGGGCCACCCTCTATTGTCGTTCAATATCACTTCACCTAATCTTCCAAACACCGCAACAAGGGAGCCTGTAGTGTCAACCTTAATCAATCAGATCGACTAACAGATGAGGCGCCAACAAAATGAGTGTTAACGATGTGACACGTTTTGGCGGCCCATCTGTGCTGTCGAGTGTATGAGTCGGCGAATCGTCGCCTAAAGAAAAGGAAAAAAAAAGAAAATAGACTAGGAATAGAATATAGGAGACTGTGACTTAATATTATACTGTTAATAAATATCTCAGAACTTAAAGACTGTGACACTTTATCTGATAAAGAAGATATAAAGAAAGTATAGCACACCGTACTAAGACGTTAAAGGGAAGAAGAACGATAGCCAACGGTACGGCCCCTGCATTGGGTTACTGTACATGTCTTCCGCGTATCTTTGATGATCCTCCGGGTTCTTGACTGCAATCAGGGATTATCTGGTATGATCTGACTCCAATCAGAAAGCAGTTCTTTTTGTCTTGGGGTCACCGAATGCAGGGACCGTACCGGCGCGCGATCGTTTCTTCTTCCCTTTCTTAACGTCTCAGTACGGTGTGCTATACTTTCTTTAATATATATTCTCATATATTAGACAGCACAGATGGGCCGCCAAAACTTGTCACATCGTTAACACTCATTTTGTTGTCGCCCCACCGATCTAAGTAAGGTTGACACTACAGGCTCCGCTGTCGCGGTATTCGCAAGATTAGGTGAAGTGATATTGAACGACAATAGAGGGTGGCCCCCTGATACCAGCATATTTACTCACAAGCAGATGATGTTCTTGACAGCATTATACCATTTGCTATCTCTAATAACGCTGTCGACTACACTTTGAAGTGAAGGTATTATCCCAAAATTGGCTCGATTGAGTTGCTGGCATTTTCCAAAGAAATCAGCTAGTTGAAAATCTAATTCAGGTACATTTCTCTTTTTCCGAGCTCCGCTGCTTTGGCATGCTGGGTTGAAGCATTCGGTAAAAAATTGCGTTTGTCACTATTCTTTAAAAACTGTAGCTTATTTATTTTAGATAATGCGTTGCATGCCTAATACAAGTACACTTATGAAGGAGCAATTGCACAGAACAGTGAAATATTAGTTAATGAATTTAGTTGCAATTCAATCAAATTTTGTCCATTTGAAATAAAATTGTTCAAGTAATAAATATTCACGATAATAAGTCTTACCTTCCCCGACTCCATGCAAAGCCGTAAGCACCACCAGGAATGCAATACTTGTTATGATTCTCATACTTTTGTTTGCGATGCCCGGTGAACTTCAAGTAATCTATACTGTTTGCAACTGTGCATTATATCAGGATAATCAGTCGGTTTAAGAAAAAGGCAATAGAGAAAAAAATCTCTACGCTACCAAAAATATTCATGATATAAGATAAATTTTATGATAAATATAATGCGATTGGGTTGTTGTCAGTATGGTCCTCAAAATTTTATTTGGGGAGGGGGTTTCAAATTTGGGGGTGATAGATATTTTGTTATCAGTGATAAAAATATTTATAACTCATAAAAATGTGTTATGTATTTAGCTGATCATTTTCACCGGCATATGAGCCACTTTCTGAATAATCAAATACATTTCTATTTACTTTAGGAATTATAGTATAGTGTAACACCTAAAAATTAGGGGAGGTGTTTGAAATTTCAGTGTGGGTGTTCACCCCCAATAAGAGGGAGGGAGGGGTAGGAAAATCTCTGGATATTATTGAAAATATTTTGGCATTAGACGATATGGCACATGGCATTGGGTCGTGGTACGTATATGTATGTATTCATGTTCTATTGCTTTACTTTTTCGAAATATTGACATTGGCATATTTTTATTGTTGTGTTATTTTGTTTAATCTATAAAATATTTCAACAGCTTCGGCTATTATTTTCTGTAAATTTACCCGTCATACAAACCCGAAGTCCCATTGTAAAGTTAGCAATGCATTTCATTTTATCGTATGTCATCTGCGGCTTCCGAGATAGAGTGAATGTATATATATTTATATATATTTTTTTTTTTGGACTAATTGAAATTGTTTGAAAGGTAATGAATGAAGTTAATGAATACTCAGCAGGTTTATTCCTCAACACCAAAATAGACTTGGGTGTTGCAAATTGACTGAAAGGTATTTTATGGGAACTACGTAGTATTGTTTACAAGTTTCGTTTTATCTTCCGTGTATCGCAAACTTGCTTGTTGCAAAAACATTTGCGGCGGTATGTAAAAAGTACCTACTTCAAAAAATTAAAAACATTTTTATGCAATATTACTTTTTTAATTAACTCCAAGTACTTGTAAGTTATAATAGTTAAAATCGTATGTTTATTGAGGACGGAGAGGTGTTGATCATAAACGATCTGCACAATTTTTGCGTCTTTTGTATTCAATAAAACATGAAAAGAATATTTCTCTTTATAACACTAAAAGCCTTCTTTTTTCAAACAAAATGGTTTATACGACAGAAGTATAGTTTTGCTTTGATATATATGTGTTGACGCATGAACAGGAGATAAAAAATGCATTTTGGCTCCATTTATGTATGATTCACAAAACGAAAGCTTTGTTTGAAAGTATTTATCCTGCATGTTGTATTTAATATTTTATCAGCTAATCAATGATTTGTGGTAAGATAAGCCTTTAAATTAAAACAAAAATAATAATTTGTTTAAATGCGTCACGTAACTTGCAAACGGGACTTTCCACATAAAACATTTCTGTTATAATTATTGAACCTATGAATATTGCATATAAAATAAATTTGGAAATATTTGCTTGTCATGGTTCCAGGCCGCACCAACGATTGCAATAAGTTATTTTTGAACATCGAAATCTGCAAAACTCAATGAGACAGCAAATATTGCTTTTTTCCGTGCGATACAATATTTTGATACTCTTTCAACAGGATCTTTTTGTGCAGCAAACTTTGAAATCAGGCATGCGCTAGGCTTCACCAACGATCGCAATAAGTTATTTTTAAACATCAAAATCTGCAAAAATATCAATTATATAGCAAATGTTTCTGTGTTTTTCCATTGTGATCTTCTGTTTAGATATTCTTAACAGAATTTTCGTGTGCGCGTAATAGCTTGTGCAATGTGTTAAGCAATAAATGAGATAGTGTTGATCATGATGTTTAACAAGTGATCTTCAGATTTGTGATTCCCGCGAGTTTGTTATCCTGAATTTAAATCTTGAACTGAAATATGCAATTAATGCGATTTAAATTTATTTGTTCCCTAAATTATATATAACACTACCACGAGTATTTCAAATTGAGAAATGAGCATAGACATAGTTTAATTTGAATCATTTAGCCCGACCCTACATGTCTAACAGCCTCGTCAACAATGCTTTTTCAAATCTTGTAATAGAAGTCAACTCCATACTGTGGAAGTGTAGATTGATAATGTAAATCACAGATGCATCCTCAGGATATTCGAAACAATTTCAATTCTAGTTCTAGTAATTCATCAATCAATTGCGAAAGATTCCAGAGCCAGTATGCTGCAGCAAATAAATGATAATGTTGTCCAGTGAAGACAGATCATCCTAATTTGAGAGCAGATAAAATGGAATATAAACATGGTTTCCAACTGACACAAATTGTCCACCATAATGTTTTATTTACCAGAAAAATATTATATACAAATACAATGCAGAAACAATCTAGATTTGAATGTACAGATCTTTAGGCAAATTTTCTGCAAGAAATTGCGTTTAGTTGGTATTGATCAGTTAGTAACTCGTCCAAGTGGTAGAATATAATTGTTATGTACGTTGTGTCTTGCTAGTCGGTGTACAGGGCTTCTAATAAATTAATCGTCTCCATGGTACTATTTTAGTTGTGGTACATGATTGAATGATATATGTTTCGACCTTGATATGGTAGTGACTTAGCAAGTATGTATAGTTCTTTAAAAAACAGAAACCATTTTCTACATGTATTGACGGCATTTTGATTTCACACATGTACGGTATTGGCGTGGTTGAGGACTTCTGCAGTAGCTATTAGAAACCACTTTTCCAGTCATCGTCTGGCAGTGCTGTTCCCACCAGATGCCTTCTTTCTTACAAATCGTGCTACATCCCTTAGTTGGTTTGTAAACACCACCCCACTTGTATACTAAAAATATAGTGAGAGAATTGATGTGGAATTTATCATTTCCTTGCAAATACTTAAATACTGGAACAATCTATTGAAATACATTATTGTATACCCTATGAAGACAAATTTAAAGATTTTACGTAATATTCAATTTCAGCCACAAAACATTGTATATATTTAGTTGATCGAATCATCATAATATTTTATCAATATGTTACATTTAAAACTTACGTGGTGCACAGACATTGAGTATTTTGAACATAGGACTGTCGGTCCGTGTTGCAGCTCGGTAAACTGCAGCCAGATCTCTTTCTTCCCTGAAATTACAAAATGTATTTGTGCTATGCTTGTGGTTGTGATAATTTTTTGAATAAATGAAGATACAAGAGAGAACGGTCAAAAATAAGGATATAGCTTATAGCACGACATGTGTATACACTTTAAAGAAATACAACGAATCGGCACAAGTATGAACTAAAATAGCCAGACCTTTCGTATGGAGAATGCTTCCTTAGCAATATTGTGATTGATTCTCCATCCACTCGTCGAAGCGAAGGATACTGGCGAATGAACTTGCTGTTCACGGAATTTTTGGTAATGCAACTCGATAACTTTTCTGGAGATCGAGACGTCGATTTGTATGCTCGTTTTGAACGCGAATTCCAAGAAGTGTATCCGGGTACTTCTGCAATCAGCCCAATGAATACATTGTAATAGACGCAGATATTCCAATTCCTAATTTAAACTTGCCGAAATATAACGATTTTTAACCAATACATATACCTACATATCATATGACAGTCGGTTAGCAAACATTTGAATGAGTAAAGTTCATTTATCATGTTATAGGTATACATTCGATAAATAATAATGTAGAGAGGAATACCCAAAAGCATTGATATATTATAAATACAATTCGGAGCAAAACGATCCAAAAATACGACAGAAAATGTTTGGGTGTGAACCAAGTCGCCTTTCATATAGCCTACATGTATTTCAAACAAAGAAGGCACAAAATTTCCATTTGTATTGAATGATTATAGTACAGCTATGTTTAGTCCATAGCTGCCCATTTGTTTTTCCTAAACACGAAGAACAAGTTGTACCAAGATCACGTACGAACTAATACTTCTCTGTTGAACTTCAAATACGTTTGGTATTTAAAACAGTTTTTGTGTTTTCATAAGATGATACCGACTTGACTTGACACAAATCCGTTGGAAGATAATACCTGATTTAGTATTATGTCAGTTACCTTAAATGTAATTATCTAAACAGATCTATCTACTGCTTTTTTACAACACCTTCAACTTACTCATCATCTTGAGAGCATGTTCAGTAATACACGTTGTTGTTGGTATATGTAGAGGGGAGGTAGTCTTTATCAAATACTTCAGTTGTCTGTTCCAGCAAGTTGCAGTATCTAGAGATCCACTAAAAATAGTAATATGCACTCACAGTTTAGATTAGAAAAACGATCCATATGATTCAATAATTTACTAAAACTATAAACGCATGGGGAAAAGCGCAGAAAGCCACGTAAGCACAAAGTCTACCTTGGAATTTTAGCACTTCTATTTCAGGTCAAGTATTTTGTGAAACTTACACACAAACCCGTCTTTTCGTTTCAATGAACCATTTGCTATCTCGTAATGTGAATTCAACAGCACTTCGTAGTGAAGGAAATATTTTTGTTGCTACCAAATGACGACACCTTGAGAAGAAATCCGATAGCTCCATATCAACATCCAAACCTGCTGCCCTTTTCTTTCTGACACCATAATGGCAACCTAAAACAAAGTTGTCATATTATATAATGAAAAGAATGAATATTATTCGACTTGGCCAATCCAATGCTAATAATATGCAGTTTTCAATATCTCTACCAGGGAAATAAATGCCCAATTAACATTTATCCTTTTTACTTGGATTCCCACTTACCTCGAGTTACGGCAAAAATTTCGACCAACACCAAATACAGAACAAAAAGTTCAATCTTTGCCATATTTAGTTCGATCGGTTTATTGCAGACGCTGCAAGCTCTGAATGAGTTCCCCAATTTGTCAACAGTTTCTTATAACTAAGACGAAATTGCTCTTATTCTTTTAAACATATACTGCTTGTGTGAATTTAAGAAAAAAAAAAAAAATCACGATATGCAAGTTTCGCGTGTTATTCAAAGATAGAGATCTTACAAGACCTATTGGCAACCCATAGTTTGTTATCGAGTATGAGAAAAACAAATATTTCGACAAAGTTTATTCAAAAAATCGCTTTGCATTCACGAGTTTGTTAATGTTTGTGTCTTATTAGTTGACCCTAAAATAGCTTTTTTCTGAATTGTTACAAATCCTCTCTACATAACACTGTATTTGAAATATGCATTTATACCCGGAATTTACGTTTTGTTTAGACGCTAATTTATCCGAGAACAATGGAAAGAATAGGTGATGTGTTGAATTGATATCTAGCATCAACATTCTTTTCCATGTCATATTCGCATTCAGTAGAGCACGTACGCCTTTAGTGGTACCGACGTATCACCATCTATAGTTTTCAAAAGTCATGGTTTCGATCGCGCTTCTTAATTTTATCACAAAGTTATTTTTAACTTCTATTCAAGCACGCATATAAAATTTTTGTTTTTTTATCATTTTTAGGACTTTCCATTTTGAATTTGATCGGAGTTTAAAAGAAATATATTTGAATTCTCAGAATTGTTGTCAGTGTTTTGTTTCATAAAAATCCCGTTTTCTGATTTCCTCTCGCAAAGCATCGTGACGAGACGGTATGCGAGCTGTCTAAATTTTAAATACTGCGGATTAGCAAAATATGCATATACTAGATAAAATCATTCAAAAATTTCCTTTGATCCGTGATATTCTGTTTTTTTTTTGAGTCAGGCTTGTACCAATACAATCTTGACATGCAAAAAACATCCACGGGCTATAATATCGCACGTCAAAATCCTTTTTCATTTGATACGGTGCAGCCACAAAATATGGATTTGTAAAAAAAATAATAAAGTTTACAAATTGTGAGGTTGATATTTTAAAAATTTCGAGTGAAAATCTGCGCCATTTCTTTATTATAAAAAATTGTACACTATTTAAAACATAAGTTGTAAAACTGGTTTAATGCGCCATGACCTTAAAATGGATTCATGGATTCTCTTCGCAAATTTCTAGGGAGTTTTGTTCAAAGCAATTTACATGCAATAATTGTTATCGGAATTGTTATTCGAGATGTATGATTGAAGATTTAATTTTTTTCGTATTTTCTCGCGTTTTCTCTCGCCCTGTCTCTTTTCTGCTATTATAAAAAGTTGCAAATTGAACGTTATTCTCCTTATTTTATCGATAATGCTGATGTGGTTTTCTGCGCGCGTATTGGTATTTAGTTTTTATCAATGGCTATCTTAAAGTAAAAAAACTTGTTATATTAGATTCGGAAAGTTCAGCGACTCGCATGAGTTCAGTTATGACAACCGAGGTAAGAATGACCAAAAATAGGAGCTTGATCAATTTATTCTGAGTTACTTCCCGACCCTCGGTCAATTCAAAATTGAGTTTTAGGCATATAAACGAAATATGTGTGCTGAAATTCCGGTTCGGGAAGTTTTCTACTGATTTGCATGCCTGAAATTATTGTCTCGAATTGTTTCAGGTCTTTTGACAAGTAGTAAAGCTCAAAATTCAAATGAAAAATTCTAAATTTGTATTATACCGATATTTTATTTAAAAATTTTGTCGAATGCCAAAAAGCAATGACGTGTACGGACAAAGTTAGGTTCAAAAATACAAAGGATCAGCTATGTACGGATGGTATCGAGATCGTTAATAACAAGTAAATCACTAAAAGGTTATCTCCGCTAATTCTGTATTTTATCTACCCGGCCCTAAATATTGTTACGATATGACGTAATATACCCTCAAGCGCCTCAAGTTTGTTTTTTCATTAACCTGTAGTCAGTGTAGCAAACCTGATTGCTTGCCACATTGCCTGATCTGTGAGCTCATTCATTTTCAATATATCTTTGTGGTCTACGACGTATTCTTGTACTACGACGTAATGGTGGATTTGAGCTCATAATATTTCGTGATGACTCTTGATCATTTCTTGTCAGATTTCTATCTTCTGTCGTCGGTGAAACTGGAGCTAAAATTGGATGTTGAGTATCCGATGTCGGATCAACTGGTATTGATTGGTTTTGATCGACGAATAAATTTTTTGTTTCTTACATATGGAACATCATCGACTTCCACAATGTATTTTCTATGTGGTAGCCTTTCATTGACTATTCCTGAAACCCATCTTGTTGAACCTGGAATTCGAATTCCTACACATTCTCCTTCTTGTATTGGTGTAAGAGGTTTCGTGTAACGAACATAATATTTAGTTTGCTTTTCTTGTCTATTCTTCCTCTGTTCATAATTGTGTGTTTTTCCACTGTCATCTGAACAGTTGACGTTGCCAATGGTATGCACTGATTGGCCATTATAACACATATTACTTTTATGAACCTTTTTTACATGTCCTAATCTGTAGTCACCTGTCGCCTTTTTATACATCCACGCTGGTAGTGTGTTGACATCACTTCCGGTGTCAATTAGAAATTTGATGTATTCCTTGCCTATTTTCAGGTCTTTTGTTGCTGCAAATGTTCTTTGAATACTGTTTAGTGAGCTAGCAAAATACGTTGTCTGCATTTCTTGTTTTGATGATTGAAACATAGCTGCATTTCTTTGTTTCTTAAATGTCGTTCCTGTCGTTGATCTGCAAACTTTGGCCCAATGACCAATTTTATGGCATTTATGACATTCAGATGATTCCGCAGGACATTACTCTTTAGCATGTTTAATGTTGCCACACCAACCACATTTCCTCATATTTTTTTTCTTAAAGTTCTTGAATGAATTTTGTGGTGATCGGTCGTGCGTTGATGAAGCTGCTAATGTTGTATCATTTGACCTTTGGGTATGCATGTCAGAAGAAAGTGTCTTTTCTGCTTCTGCGGCTTTTTCAAAACCTTGTACAATGTCAATAACTTTCTCAAGCGTCAAGGAATCTGCTGTCTCGCGACGAAAAGCATTTCGTATATGGGCTGATACATTGAAGATTACCTTGTCCCTGATAAGTTCATCAACAATTTTATCTGGTGCAATTTTTTTAAATTCACATGTTATTGCAGGGTTCCGCAGTGCAGAAACGTATTCTCTGACAGTTTCTGTTCTATCTTTTTTCCTCATTTCAAATTAATATCGGTCAAATATAATACTCTTTTTAGGCATGCAGTGGTCTTCAATTGCTTAAGTACACTTTCTGGCTTGTTTTTGTCAGCATCTTCTTCCCATTTGAAAGTTTTGTAAACCTTCTTGGCTTCAGGACCAGCTACGGTTAAAAATGTGGAAACTCGTACTTCATCAGCCTTTTTAGAAAGTTCTGTGGCAATTTCATAATGGTGCCAGTAAAATTTGAATTCTTCCCATCCCGTGGCAGTTAATTCAAGTTGCTTTGGTGCAGGCATCGCCATGTTGACACTTGATTTGATTTCGACCTCGGCAGCGTGTTCTGAGTCGTTGTTCATTTGCTTCCAACTTTGTAAGCTTTAACTTCTGACACCATGTCTCGTTGGGTTATCGTTGGGTTATCGTTAGGCGTTGCAATGAACATATGAATACTCAAGACTTCCAGAAACACAGTTGTATTGTTAAATAATAAATATACAGTAATAAGTACAGAACAGGATAACAGCAGCATGCAGCATCAACTCATAAACTCCAATGTCCTTCGCGCATGCCTTGTGCGCATGTTACAGTTCATTACTTATGACGTCATAGATATAATCGCGCAAAGCATTATAATGACATTAATCATTATATGACATCATCACGATACAGAAAACCACCTTGCGAAAATTGAAATGCGATCGAATAAATGAGTTTCTATAACCTGGAAAAACTCTATCACTTCAACCTTAAAAACAAAGTATGCTGAGCATAAATGAACTGCACAGTATTAACCGTAATTATGCCTTCATTTTATGAGAAAAATGTCAATACACAAACTCGAAATCCATATTATGGCGTCATAACAGATTGGCTGTGGCGTCTTTGCATCAGAGGACTCTTACAATTAACATAGGCTAAGCCGGCTATGGTGTCTCATCGTTTATATCACCGATATAAGCATATTCTTCATAATCGCAACCCACTCGTTTTGCCGAAGGGCTGCATTTGATCTAATTGCTTGTGTGGTAGGCTCGTGAGCTAATTTTCATGATTTTTCTTACTCAAAACATCTCTCTGATATCTCGGCTAAACATTCCGGGTAAAATCTTATGCATTTGGTGGAAATAAAAACGTGGTGATAAATGTACGCAATAGAAGTGAAAGTCAAAATAAAACATTTCACTTACATTTTTGAAATTATAATTTCGGCTGCGTGTGCAGCTGCCAAAATGCAACGTTTTGGCGTAGTTTCGCGGCGATGCAAGGAGTATCTCAATAAAAAATACAGAAAATTTTTTATTTAAAACAAGCCCTTGTTTTAAAACACGATGTTTTTTTTAGAATTGATAAAAACAAAACCTAGTATTTCATAGTTGTGGAAAGAGGTCACATCCGTTGCTCTCGGCTCAGAGTTGGATTTTCTGAAGTCAGCGTAACTCAAAGTCGAGGTACTGTAAAATCTATCTCGGCTAAACATCACAAAAATCCTTTACCTGTTAATGATATTTTAGAAAAGTACGCTGATGTTTTTGGAGGTCTAGGTTGTTTTCCGGGAGAATATCATCTAGAAATGGATGAAACCAAAGTTCCGCCGTTAAAGCAACAACCTCGTAGAATTACCTTTGCAATGCGTAATGATCTTCTGAATAAACTTACAGAATTTGAAAATAGAGGAGTAATTGCTGAAGTTACCACTCCTACCGACTGGATTGAAAGGGCAAGAAGCAAAAACTTGAAATTGAACAAAAGTAGAATCAAATTCGGACTGAAATCTGTTCCGTATCTGGGTCATTTATTGACTGATAACGGTCTCCTACCAGATCCACGGAAGATTCAAGATGTTATTGAAATGCCAAAACCAATTAATGTACAACAGGAACAATGTGTTGTAGGATTTTCTTAATTATCTTGCTAAATTTCTTCTACATCTGTCTGAAATTTGTGAACCTCTCCGTAGATAAACGTATAAAGATGATAAATGGGAATGGCAGGAAGAACATGATGATGCGTTTCAAAATATCAAAACATTGAAAACAACTGCACCAATTCTACAATATTATGATATTTCAAAAGAGGTAACCTTAGTGTGGTGCGAGCGCGGAGTCGCAGTACGGTCAACTCTGTTACAAGGAGGTAAGCCTGTTGCTTGTGCGTCGCGTTCATTAACGACTACATATCGGCGTTACAAGCAAATTGAAAAAGAGTGTTTGGCAATCGTGTTCGGATGCGAACGGTTCGATCATTATATTTTCGGTCGAAAAGTGACTGTGGAAAGTGATCACAAACCGTGAGATGCTATTTTTAGAAAGTCCATGTTAGCAGCTCCCAAACGATTACAGCGAATTCTGCCCCGACCACAAAAGTACAATTTGAACGTCCAGTACAAGCCTGGAAAAGATATGCATATAGCAGATACACTCTCTAGATTGTGCACGAATGATAATGTACCCCAACCCGCAGAAGACAGTTTTGAAATTTTTCATATTGACGAAAAGAAAAACTTTAGAAATGAATTGAACAAAATAAATTTTGCCAGGTATGCAGATATGACAGATGAGCAAATTCAAATGCTCAAAAAAGGAATTCGAGTTGGCTGGCCACAAAGTGAAGTCGATGATTGTCTGAAAGAATTCTGGAATTATAGAGATTGAACATGGCTACCAAAACAGCAATGTTTTGTACAAAATCCATAGAATAGTAATTCCTAATACACTGAGGCACTGTCACATGGAATTTGAATTGTGCTTTGGAAAAGCCCGAGATATTGTATTTTGGCCACGGATGAGCTAAGAAGTCAAAGACTATATTGGTCAGTGTAGTGCACAGCGCCGGATTAACCATTAAACAATATAAGCACGTGCTTAGAGCACCAAGCAAAGAAGGGCACCACAGAAATTTTTGAGCAGAATTTTATATAGTTTATCAGTGTTTATTAAAATATTCGAGTTCACCAGGCGACTCAAACTTCAAAATGTTCGCTTATTTTATGTCTTCAAGTATCATATTAATCTTCTTTATTAAAAATAAACACTGCATGAAACTTTTTTTTGGACACGAAATGGGCCTATGAGTCGTTTTCTTAAATTGTTTTTGTTTTTTTTCTTTCTAGTATTCTCCTTGATACTGCATTTTTGTTTCAAAAAAATTTTTTTTTTCTCTCAACAATTGGACCAATGAACTATTTACACTATGTGGCGGTTCCACGATCGCATTTCAACGATCTAGTGGTCAGCGAAGTCGGGAGTTTGTTGATAAGGTAGACCAGGGTGGTCCAAACCCTGTCATGCTGATACATTCCATGCGGCTCACCGAACAATTTTAGCGTATATTTGTATCTAATGGAGAAACGTTTTTTAGTTTTTTTTAGCTATTCCAACTGGGGTTGGGATCCCGAGATTCAAACCCTTTTTCTAACGCTTTGTGCCCTTATTTTAGTAAAACCACTTCTCTGTTTTTAAGCGTCGGCCATGTGACAGTAGCGACGAAACGCAGAGCCGACTTAACGCCGCGCAATCCAGTTTTTTTTTTAGCTAGGTCCCCGGACTTGGTTGGTATTTAACGATGGCACTAAGCTTGCTCACGCTGCAAGTTTTTAAATTACTCAATATAACAATTCGTAATAAAATGAGTGTCGCAAGAAAGGTGACATGAAGAAAAACACGCCGGAAACGTATTTCCTTCCCCATTACACAGTGTCTGGTTTGATTTCAAGTAATATCTGTCTCGAAGGAATATAATTTGAAGCGACATTAAACGCGAGATGCGCAAAATACAACTGTAAACTTTAAAATAAGTGAAGCGAGACCTCCTCGAAAGTTTTTGCGGTCCTTCAACCCAGCAACCTTGGACCACCCTGAGGTAGACTACTAGGTACCGGTAAAATTTCAAACTACAGTTGTGACTTGTATCCTTTGGTATTTCGATTCACGTCGTTGAGACTGGAGACATAAATCTTTATTGTCACACTCCCTCAGGATCAGAGCTTAACCGATATATCTGCCCGATATTGCGTATTTGCCGATATATCATATCGGCAGTAAACGGCCGATATATATATCGGCTATATATAAATAACAGTTAAAAAACCTAAAAGCCTGGCTGTGATTATTTTTAATGGATAATACACTTATGTGGTTTATTGTTTTTATAATTAAATTACACATGAGGGGACACCAAAGTCTGCAGTGCTTAGGGCACCAAAAGGGCCTAATGGTGTAGTGTATGTATGGATAATGCGCGTGAGAATCAACGAGAACCGTTAATAAGCAGTAAAATCCCTAACCAACCATGGTGCAAATAGGAATGGATTTATTTACTGTGCTTAACAAACAATATCCAATTACTGTAGATTATATTCAGATTGCTGGGAACTCAAATGGTCCACAAATTTGAAAATGCCGAATTTCGAGAATTTGACAAAAGTTGGAAATTCCTGCATCTAACGTCATCTCCGTTACATAGCAAATCGAACGGTAAAGCTGAATCAGCAGTTAAGATCGCAAAGAATTGATTAAAAAGACACGTAGATACGGTTCAGATGTTTATAAAGCCATACTAGAATGGAGAAATACGCCAACAGATAATACGAGAATATCGGTCGGAGACCGCAGACTTATCGATCGAAACTGCGGTTTCGATTCATGACTCTATGGTGACACCGCGTGTCCCATCACTAATTTTTAATAACTCGCTAATTATATGACATAATTCATCCAAAATAATTAGGCTTCTGGTCCGATATATGATGAATGCACATGCAAAACACACATGGAGCAGATTCAACCACGCCTTCGTGAGATATCGCGTGCATCTAACAGACAGACAGACAAACAGACAAATACCTATCAACATACTTACCGATCTAAAGATCGATAAATAATAAACAGTTATCTTAGTCAAAGACTAATGTCCCATCGCACAACAAACGTTAAATGGAGCGAATAATTCTGAAACTTCTCGTTCAGGTGAAGCAGAATCAAGCGAGTGACCGGTGACTCCAAAGTTTAGACAACGTAGAACACGAACTAGAATCATTCGTAATCCTGTTACGTACCCTGAACATTGATGTGTTAATACTTTTTTATAAAAGGGGATGTTACTATAGACGTAATATACCCTCTAGCGCCACCTGTCTTTTGTTGTTCTTGTAAAATGTGGTAGTCGTATTGTAACTGTTCTACTGTGCGGTGCTTTTTATGTATACTGATATAAGTTGGTGATGTCGAGTCGAGGAACCAGTAAAACTAGATTGAGGACGAAACGAATATGGAACAAGTCTTCAAAAAGTGCATATATTTTATGGCACATAGATAACGTTAAACACTCGATAATTAAATATATGTTTATCATAATGATAGATATATATATTACAAAAATATTTTAATATATTAGAATCAATAAGGAATCTTCCTATGTTTCATAAGAAATTCATTTGTCCGATATCATAGGATAGATTAAGCATGCACAAAAATTCATGAGAAATAACTCATGTCATTATATTAAATTCACTGCAATTTAAAATTTATTATTGTAATTTATTTTTGTTCGGATTTATTGAATATAACACTATTTCTTCAACGACGCGGCATCTTTTAAAGTTGTCTAAAAAAGGCACACTGATTTATGATTAATATGTCACAAAAGTTTCTTGTCTGGATTACATTTATTTCTTTTTTCTTTTCCCCTTTTTGCCCTTCTTCCCTCCTTTCTTTCCTCCACCAGCAGGCCAACTAAATCCTCTCTTTTCCAAGCAGTCGACTGCATTGTGGCAAATGAAATACGCGTTTTCCATTGCTGCTTGACTTAAAATGTCAATCTAAACCGAAAATTTGTTTATTTTTATGAAGGCACATGTAAAATTAGAAAAGAAACAAGCAGTGATTCCAATTTCTAATTTAGTTTAGCAAAATGCGTTTTAAATGATATTTTATTTGTGAATGAAATACTAGTTTAGTGAAAAACGTCACAATAAGAGTAGCCTATACGACAAAAGAAAATATGAATAAGACAACGATCCAAAATTAAGCAATACTTGAGCTTCAATATGAACTTGGATATAACTCTCAGCATACTCTACTGTGAGTAATATGGGTCGAATATATTTTGAACTATATTCTTACGTTGTTCACCATTTTGACGAAATTTGAAAAACTACAAAGTGACTATAGAATGTTGAAAGATTTGGGGGGATAATATTAGGGCTACTGTTTTATTGAACTATAGTTGCTCATCAGCAGAAAAGGGTTTGCCTGAGAAAGGTCAGTTGAGCACATGAACATCTAGTCTCTCTTTTTTTTAAATGTACTCCATCATCAAAAGTTATGGTGTCATAAGAAAATGCCAATGTTGAAATGAAGTTTGAATGTGTTGTATAGACAATGAAGTTTAATGTCTCTAAGTTTAATGTCTCTAAGTCTAATGTGTGTAAGATCAGACTGCGTTACGGGAACATTGACACAAACGAGTTGCTCGCTACGATTCATTGCGCTTAAGCAAGTCGATGAATTCTGTGAACCATTTCATATAAACTTTATTTGAAAAACCACAAACCTCTACTGGTCCTGTATTGGTCAACGGCGACAAGTTGCTTCTTTTTGCGGATCCTCCTTTCTTTCCTTTTCCTTTCTTTGACCCGCCATTTCTGCTTTGACCTTTCAACTTCCCGCTTTTAGTCGCTTTTCTAGAAGGCTGGAAAACGTAAATTAAATAACTTCCAAATCGTAACAAAGTCTGATCAATCTTGTGTGCAAAGTTCCGAAATACAATTTCATTTTACGTTACATCAAAGATGATGTATTGAAAAGTAATTTATTTCTGTCAACAACGGCCATCAAGCTCGAAAGATTCGTATTACTTATGAATCATGCTTGGCAAACCTTTTATCTAATTAATTAAAGTGACAATTGTTGTTAAGGCATTGTTGTGCCATGGTACTTGAAATACACTGTCAACACACTTCACTGGTTAATTATGAGTCAACAAACGACGGATCAGTCTGAAGTTCGTTATTGATTAATTTTCGGTGAAAGTAGGATACTTTATCTTCGACTTAAATTCGTTAAATTTGAGCTTGAAATTATTTGTGGATAATAACTTGCATAAAATATAAACTTATTCTTTTTGACAATGATTTTACAAAATTCTTCTTAAATTCTATGAATTGTCCGATTTTTTTTTTTCGAGAAAGAAAAACAAACTAAATTGTCATTATACTAAGACATGTGTATCATTTGTTTGAAATCTGGAAGACTCAAATCAAGACCTTGTTATGTAAAAAAATTACAGTTTTACGGCAGTAATTGACTATCAATATACTACCATGCACTCAGTCCAACAATATACGTGTTGATAAACAAGTTTATGTTATTATTTCATTTGTCTGCGCATCATGATATCATGATTATTATGATTAGCCCAGTATTCCTGTGTCGTCGTATACGTCGTTGCAAGACGTGAAATAAACATTTAAAAAATCTACCTCTTTCTCTCTGCGTTCCTTTTCTTCCATATTCATTTAAATTTAATTGCTATGGATTTCAGTAATAAAACGCCTGATCAAAAAATACCAAACCACATAACATGATAAGTTTTGCGAAAACGACACGTTTTTAAAAGCCGATCTTGCATTTGGCAAATCTATTCGTTTTTCCGAATCTCTGTAAGAATATTTTTTCTCTTCTATCTATGACGTTCAAAGATATTAAAAAAGTGCATTCGTAAACGCATTCAACTAAGTCATTTGTAAATTTGTTTCATGAGCTTAGACCATTCTATAACATAGAACAAATTTTCTGAACTTTAATTTAAGAATTCAAATACTTAATTCAATCTGTATAAAATGACTGGCAGAACGTTGCAATCTGGCGATCTGTCTTTATTCAAAAGCTTAGCCGTAGAGCAATCGGACCTCCACAATCAAATGCGCAACTCAAGTGAAATACGTCAGGTTATTGTCGTGAATCCACGCGTACACTAAATAAGAACTCGTAACCATAAAACTTGTGTACTTACCATATTTCGGATTGGTTTTTTGTTCTTGTACAAATACAAAACTAACACTGATATAAATCAATCTCGTCCCATCTTTTATTTGCTAGCAAATATATTTAAATAGGTGTTGTCCCTAGACACAAGGAGAAATACCTGTAATATAAACACAACTTGAATTGAGTGTTCTTGCACAGAAATACAATGGATAGACACGAGTTTCGTGATTGATGTATTTCGAAAATTATATTCGACCAAGGATGTATCATGATTGTTAAACATTAAACGTATTGCATTAATTTATATTAGAATCATGTCTGGCATGAAGGCAAACTCACAAACTAGACGAGTCTACAGTTGGTCAAACAAAAAGTCTTGGTTACCAAGGTAACTTTATTTGTTCGCAGAGTCACATGTAATATACTGATTGTAGCAAGAATTCATAACAATTCCTGAATATTGCAAAAATAATTAACTTGAAATTTCAACTCAATAAATTTGTAAAGTTCAAGTTTAGTAACAACAATACATATTAATTAAATGTCGTTTTATGACACAACAATTGATATTGAATAACTGTCTGCTGCTACGTTGATGCCTGGACAAATCCTTTGGTTTACCAGACTGACTATTTTTATTTTATCACTATATTACTATTCTATTACTTTAAGTCAACGATTTTCTAAATCACACTAACAGTTTGTATACCGAGCATGATAAGCGAACAATCTAGTCTTGTCTCTCTGTCCGCAATGGGAACCAGGTACTTGGGTGGTTTATTTTATCACAAAATAAACACTCAACCTGATTAGAATCTCTCAACTGTTGCTAGTGAACAGTACGAGTAGGAATATCGATAGAAAAATTTCGAATTGTTCGAAGGAACTTTCTTCAATGATAGTCAGTTTCATATTTATTTAAGAGACACGTTCGCTGAAAGTTTTGATAGTCAGCACATACGCCCACTTTAACTATTTAGTTTCGCAATCATATTTATCGATTTAAAAAGGTTTAGTTCTTTTAGTCATTTTTATTACATAATTCATATTATCTTTCCGTACACGATACAATATAGAAATGGTGTTCTGAACCAATTTAGACCAATTTTGATTGGAAGTGTCAGCTGTGTCTACCTGTCATACTTAACTGTCCTTCACCTTTTACTGGCAAACCTGTCATACACAACGATGAAATTGTCAATGTGGAACCTTTTTGATTTTTCGTTTGTTATATCTATTTTCATCAACATCTAATAAAGTTCTAATCATCATGTAATTTGGTCTCTCGAGTAATATCTCTATTTCTCTGGCATCACGTACTTTTTAAGAACACTACCGTCATTTGACGGAGGTGACAAAGTTACTTTCCAAGTAAGCTTTTGTCATTTTTCTCCCAGTTCTCGGACAAACGATCTTTAGCGCATTGTTGTACCGTGGAATACAATACATCCATTGTTGTTATGACGAAAGGCGGTACTTTAATTTTTCTATTGGAAATATATGCTTTTGTGTTATAAGTTAACAACGCAAACGTGGTAGGTGTTTTGCCGGCGTAAGTCGATACCGTGTAACTATGTTGTTTTACATTTGTCAGGTGGGAGGAACTCGACTGGAAATAGAATGATCTTTAACTTTACCGACCTTCGACCCCGTTATATAAATTTTCACCCTGTATTCGCGGAACCGAGTAAAACTACCTTCAGGTCGCCTCGGTTCATAACATTGCATCACTCAGAAGTTTTTTCACCAGCGCAGGCTATCGCAAATAAATAGGCTGAAGTCTTGTTTTGAGTTAAGTCTTTTTAAACATTCCTAACTTGGCAGTCTTTGTGACTCGTGAGTAAAATAGATGCAAATTATCGTCATTTAAAACATTACGTACGATACAACCACATAATGAAGACGATTTTCTGCCTAGCCCAGACTATAAACTAGAATAATTTAACGAAATGCACGTTGGTCTGTATTTCTCCTATTACATATTGCCACTGGCACTTATACTCCTGCATTTCTGCAATTATTATGGTTCATGACATCTTTAATTTTTACATATCGGATATGTGGTCGCCACGAGGCTCAAATCTGTATTACTAAACTGCCAGTTTATAAAGTTAAGCTCAATTTACTATAACCACTAAATCAGCTTACACCAATATTATGTTCACGTTTATGTTCTCTATACCTGCCTGATATTATATTTTCAGCATTAATATTTCCGCAGAATCTTTTTTCAAAAATCTTCTTTCACACATCAAAAATCTTCTCTTATCTTTATATTGAATACATAAATATATTCGACTATACACAATAATCGATTTCGTTCACACAGGGCGTCAAAATTTAAATTTATAATCGATACCACATTTGTTGCAAATCTACGATTTTTGACTTTATCATAAAATAGAATATATGTGAGACGACCTTCTGACATTCCAAAACAACACCATTGGAAATAATAACCTTTCAGGTCATAAGACACCATTCACAATAGGGTATTTTCGTTTGCGAATACATCAATGATTATGAAGTGCCATTTATAAGCTGTCGTAGAAGCACGCCGTCGAGTGTTTTTTTTTTCTGTGGTCCAATGTTGACAGATACTTGACATATCACGTTTGACATGTATACCCCCAGCTGAGCATATACATATGTGTATAATTGACCAGTCACGGCAAAAATGTAAAATTGTACTTTTCCACGCGGTATGCCTGATTATAGATGTTTACATATAATAGAATTGTTTAGATAAATACGCCCCTTCGGTATAACATTTCACTCCGATTGTATTATGAATTTCGACAGATATTGCGTATGAAAATCATCGTGTTATATACATAACAAAAAGAAGACATGGTTGTGCAACGTATGTCCGTTTTCGAATCAAATCAATCGAATCATTTTTATTAGCTATTCAGACAAACGATCACAAACAGAATATAAATAAAAAACAGGAGAAATTAAATATGTATATATATTTTTATTCATTGTTTTGTCCAGAATGGACAGGACAACCGCGAAATGGCCATTCGGTCTACTTTTCAGCGGCTGCTTACTTTACTTTAAAATTTGGATAAACAAGGCAGATTATTGAATTGTTGTTGGAATTTGAAAAGCTTTATTTACCACATGTCTACTCAATAACGACGGGTGATTGGGACGCAGCTAAATATGTGACAATAAATTTAAATCTTCGCTAATTTGCCTGAAATGTCGGGAAAGAGATCTGGCGATGGAATTTGAAAAAAAGATGAAGCGCAAGAAGTCAAAATGATATATTGAGCTTGGGTTGCCCAGGGACAGAAGATCATTAAATTCAATTTAACAAAAGAGCCAGTACGACAGGCGATGTGTAGAAGTTTCGATTTTGTTACCTCGTTTTTCAATTTATGGCGTGTGTGCCCGACGAATCGAAATCGAGGTAACATATACCGTTAAAATTATGTATCAATCATAACAGAAAGCTACTCTCCCTTTTTGAAATCATCACAATTGGTCCCTTAGCTAGGGCTTTGGGTATCGCACCAATTTTAAAGCGAAATCATAAGTCGCTCAAGCGTAACGTTACGAAAGCTTTAAAAATGCCTCAGGCGTTATTTTGTATTTTGCATGGTGTTATATCTACTGAGAGTATTCAGAAGGTATATTAGATGATTAAAATTTGATCAGATTGATTTAATATTGGAATATTGTTAGTCAATGCATATATTTCAGAATAGAATTTAGGATCTATATTTAATGATGGATCATTCAATGAAGAATTAATGGCAGTATGATTATTTCTCGCGTATGTAAAAAAGTTAAGTTGTAATGTAGAGTAATAGCTTTGATAGATCTTAGGTGTATACTTGTGATTATGAAGAGACAGGTCAAACATTTGAGGTTAAATGCAGGGGTGGGCAAGGTTTTAGGAGCAGGGGTCACGAATTTACCCGCCTGGACTGGTGGGCCATGTAAGTGTAACGTAAAAAGGAACATTTTATGAACAATATTTACAGTGTTGCAAAGCAAACGTGGAAAACAATAAGCCTCGTGCCAAAACTAAATTTAATCACAATCTCAACAAAATTTGTTTGGTTGTGGCAGCATTATACAGGACAAATTGAAGTAGTTAGCGGGCCGGATTTGGCCCGCGGGACGTAGTTTGCCCACTTCGGGTCTAGATGTATCAAATTTCTAATTTCCAAATGATCAGGACATGTTAAGTCTTATCACATAAGTCTCGACTGTGCTATGAAATGATCAAACCATCAACCAGGGTGTCCCGTCATACAGGTTGTCTACCTCACTTTTATTTCGTATATTTTTTGGCGAGTTAGTCAGTGACTTGAAAGACCTAGTTCGCAGCATGAAATATATACAGTATGTTATTTGTCAAAATATGTTTTCCAAATCATAAAAGCTTTGAATTTTCCCAAAGTCACAATATAGTCATGAGCCAGTACTGCATAATCAGTCAATAGGCCCTTGAAACAGGTAAAAAAAATAACCACACCGAAGGAGCCTGAGGAAATGGCCCATTTAGCGAAACCCTTTTGATTATATATACACAATATATCATAAAATATATATTTTTTGAAAATGTTATGAATTTTCCGACATTTTATACATTGTTCAGTAGCATGATTATAAAGCGATTTATGCTAATAATGATATCAATCGTAATACATATTGTTGTAAGACTGTGGGAACATGGAAGATACAGTCAATTTACAACAGACGGCCAAAATTTTATAAAAAAATATTTAACGACCGCGGATATGTGGAGAAACGACTTTATCGTTGTGATGAACGTAGGAAACAACGACTCTAAAGTTAACCATAGTGACATCACACTTGCCAGCCAGTGTTCAGTGAACAATCTACATCACCTGCCAGAATTGGTGGCCCGATGGAATGGTCCCGCATCAGTAGCAGTTTTTGCTCCCCATTCAGATTTCGTTAAAGCTATTTTAGGTATACATTGGCTGGAAAAATGTTTTCCAAAGACTTTTATAAAAACCAATTTTCATTTAGTTTATCCACTCGAGCATCCGCCATTCTTTGAAGACAGAGAATTGCCGGTTATATTGAAAGACATGGTTTCAAAATCAGCACCAGAACGAAAGAAAGATTCGTATTGTACGAAGGCGATGGACGCATTGAAAAGTTTCAAAGGTGGCAATTACGTACTAAAAGGACATCAATATCCACATAACACTTTGCGAAACGTCGCTATAAGTGGTATAGAAAGCGACTTCGTGTTTTTAGTAGATGTTGACACCTTCCCAGCCATCTATGCAAGAAGTCAATTCCAGGAATTTTTGAAATTAGACGAGTATAGGACTCAGTTTTTGAACACTAAAACTGCATTTGTTGTTCCTGCTTTTGAAGTGGATGAAAATGTGATTCCAACGACCAAGACTAAACTGATACAGGAATATAAAAAGGGAAACGTACGACCTTTTCACAGCGAAACATGCAAGAATTGTCATGAACCAACGAGGTAGGAAACATTTTCGCTATTATTGTTAAAATTTACTACAGTATAGATATATTTGCTAGAATATTTGCTTAAAGTAAGATCCTAATCGATCAAAAAAATAGGCGAAAAAAAACGAAATAAATATCCCAAACAACTATTGACGAACACTGAGATCTGTATAGGCTAAATCTTGAAGCACAGGTTTTAGCTGTTATCTGCCGACAAGTACTTTTTTCTATATGCTGTAAATGATGATCAGATGAGAAATTAGAAATCCTAATATTAAATCTACACTGCGTTAATTTGAACCACCCCTGTCAACTAAGAGGTTGGTTTTCATATTTTTCGAGCGAAGCAAAATGTTCTTACTTTAAATTTTGCGCTATTCTTAAATGACTTAATTTCAAATATTCGAATAAAATACAAATAAAAGATAGTATTTGTAGGTTGATCAACCGTGGGTCACCGCATGGCCGTTGCAGTCTAACAATATTTCAATTTTTAATGACAGAAATAGTAGGAAGAGTTTAGTGAAACCTGATTAACAGTGGTAATTTATGTATAATTTCAGGTTTTCGGATTGGATTGCGATTCCAGAGAAGCATGATTTGATTGTTGCTTATGAAGCTGAATGGAAGGAATCCTGGGAACCTTTTTACATCACACATAAATCTCATATTCCACTATACGATGAACGTTTTAGACAATATGGATTTGACAGAATTAGTCAAGTGAGTAAATATGTGATATAAAATGTAACATATTTCTTACATTGACAGTATCAGTATGTTAGACCAGGCAATACAATCTCCGGGTTTCTAAATTTGCATTGATATACTAGATATCCGATGGCTGGAAGTTATAATTCGTTCTGCCTGTGAGTAAATATTAGAGGCAACATTTGATTAACTTTCCCCAAAAATTTCAGTGTGAATGTGAAGTGTCTATCGCATGATACTCGTCGACCAAAACCCCGCGACTCGTCAAATCGTGACTTTGGGGCAATATTGTTTTTATTTCATATTTTGAGATACTAGTGGAATAGTTTTATCTTAGACAAATATTGTTTATATTACTCGACGCCTTTTTTGCTGGTTAGGTTATTACAAAAGTTAATTTATATAAATCTTTTTTCATTTTATCACAGGTTTGCGAGTTATTTGTTTCTGGTTACAAGTTCATTGTAATGAATAATATTTTTGTCGTTCACCAAGGATTTAAAAGACCCCATGAATTTCATTCCAGTAAAAATTTAGAAAATAAAAGAAACTTTAAGATTTATATTGAGGTAAGTTATAGCATGGAATATTTTAATATGGTTTTTGAAAAAAAATGTCGAAAAATTATCGACGTTTGAAGTAGTATGATTGTATATAGGCACTAGAATAATAAGCTATGTGACCATACGTTGTTTACGTTTTAAATATATCATCGAAATTGGTCAATGCGGGATTAAAAGTACTCTGAATATTCCCTTATTGGGTATTGATTTTGGCTAATGAGATTAGTATCCTCCAGTCTTACTTCGGAAGAACTGATGCAGGATGAGAATAGCGTTTCATGAGATCGCTGACAGAAAGCTTAATTTGCTTATATATATACGAAAAACTGCTTACTGTTAAGTTAATATTATTACTGAACGATTTTCTCATGTCTTCTTTTTTCTTTCCGTATCAGGAGTTCATTCCGGATCTTGCAAAGAAATACCCATCTGCTAATCGAACATGCACTGATGGTGGGAAACGCAAAGGTATCGCAAAGTCCAAATTTCGACCTCATTTCAAAATGTAAGTTTTATAGAAACGTAGAATAATATTTTGAAAATATTTTAGGTGCTCCAACATTTTAAAATTGTTACAAACAAAGCCATTGGCATGACAATGATATTTAAAATTTACAATTAAGTGAAATATTTTTATTTACAGAATTGCCGAGAAGAAAGCCACTGAGCTGTAATTCAATATAGATTAGAAACAGACAAATCAATAATATCATCGTCATATACCGTGATGGAAGCGTATTTCGGTCCGGACAATTAGTTCTATGCAATGAGTTCTGACATTTGTAATCTCGGAATATTTTTATACTGTGGTATGCGTATTATAAAAGACGCCGAGGTAACCATGCCAATGCCATGGTAACCAAGTTGAAAAAAATCAAAACTTCTTCAAACTAACTGGAGGTTTACCTTGTTGCGCCTGTCACAAGTTGTGATTTTTTTTCCAGTATTCAATTTTTCATCCTAAACGGATTAATATAATACGATACCGGTATCTTCAAATACATAGGTTGCAACAGATAATAAGCCCTTTATTGTTGTTATTATATTGTTGATCGTAACTATTTAATGAGAGTAAACTGGAGCGGATTGCTGATACTGATATTCGCTCGATCAATGTCCCCTGATCATATATTTTTGTAAACCAGCAGATTTTCGATAGGCATCGAACTCTGAATCACACGAAATCGTGGAAAGCACATTTCTGACAAATGTGAAAATGTAACTCAAGTCAGTCAGCATTTTTCTAACGCTTCATTATGCATGCAGGTGCACAACACCAATCAATATGTTTGTACCATCATTGTGCAATTCTCATTAATATATCCATTGTGTGTAATGTCAATATTATAAGATTCGTTCGTTATTTGATGACAATGTATTGGTTTCGAAATTTGAGAACTATTACAACCATCTCCCTAGTGTTATGCAGTGCTTACAACTTATTGAACACAAACTGGGCCTGTAGAACATTTTACTAAGCTATTGTCGCTGCTTCTGTTTTGTGAGTAGGAAATTAACCCGCATACCCATGCTGGACTACATGGCCTATCGGTTTCCCATTAAAATATATTTTTTATTGAAGTACGGTTGCATGTATTTCATAACAGATTCCAAAAATATTTCTGAGAATGTTCCAAGTTATGACTGTGCAATTCTGAAACATGCGTGAAGCATTAGTTTGGTACATTATGAGTTTTACCTCAAAATTCGGCGACTGTAAACTTTACATAAGAGTCACAAAAAATTAATTACAGTACGAAAAAAAAACTCAAATTGGAGTTGTGGCACAATGTTACGGAATATTAAAATAAATCAATAACTCATATGGGATGAATAAAAACACATTAATTGTATTTAATCTTATTGAAAGTCTGAAATCGGAATCATTTGTCTCTTTCGAACAATGAAATTTAGCACAAGAAAATTCAGTAATTCGGCACAATAAGAGCGAAATGTTTGTTATAACTGATTTGTAGGTTGATGTAACTCATAGTTGCTGCAAGACACATCTACGCTTTTATCGAGTTTGTGAGCAGTGCATGCTGCCTATTCATTAGCGCAGAAATCCCTTGTAAATATCTGTACAGGCAGAACTATTTTTAGAAGTGGCGATGAAAGGCCTGGTACAGGTTTTTCACATATAAATTTGGAATCAATAAAGCTCAACACTACAAACTTTTTGCCAAACTGTTGTATTATAAGTGATGCAATGAAAAGAAAATTTGGGCAGTTGAAGTGAGAATATTTTTCTCTATACGATAATACTTTCGAATACCTTCGACAATTAAGTGCTCGCTGTCGGCCATTTTTTTCACTTTAATACATCTTGCGTTAAGCATTCAAAACATGTAATAATGTTTGGTCCTTATTCAACCAAAAGACGAAAATGTTAAAAAAAATAATGTCTCTAGATGTCTTCACATTTGGTTCTCATACACAAACACATAAACCACAGCCATTCTTGTTTTCACTTTTCTAGTGAATCGTGAAGTTTCTTTAGTAAGAACAGATATAACTCCTTCCCAGGGTCCGATCAGTGGTTTCACGACTTGTATCTCACCTGAAAATAGGTTTCATTGCTTTTGAAAACATATGTAAACAAGTATTTACTGTTCAATATTACTTCAATTTAATACTTAAAAGTAACCACATTCATCTAAATTTTATTGCAGCATGAATAAATCATTGAATTGCATTACTCGTCTTCGGAACTTTTCTTTCTTACCTGCATGTTTCGTTACTTTCACCCTAAAAATTCCTTCATGGTTTCCGTCAACGATCGAATAAGAGAAACGACTCAATGAAAATCGATTCTGTAAAATATAGAAACAGTTCTTTGAATCATTATCACCCGCCTGTATCTTTAGACTGTCAGCTCAATAGTAAGATATATATTATTTTTGCAAGTTTTTTTTACATGAATAAAATGTTGATAAAATATATTGATGAAAAAGCGCAACTTTCAGTGTGAAGAGTATTTGAAGAATACAAAATGTTCTTCTTGGGGGCTACGGTTTTTATAGCTTGCATGAAAGGTATTTTATTTGATGATCCTAATATTTGCAAAAAAAGACACACGAAGAAATTATATGAGATATGTTTGGCTGATATCATTTATATATTAGTAAATAAAATGTGTTCAACAATACATTCGAACAGCTCGAAGTAGATGAGTTAATCGACAACAGCCTACAAAAGAATAGGCTTTTCTCGAAGATTTCTAGTAATTTCAGCAGATGCAATCCGTCTGAACGTTTGAAACGATTTGCAACTTACGACAAAATGGCACATGTAACACTGTATTTTGGGGTATCGCTGTGCCTATTGTATTTGTAGTATATCCACAACTGATTAGCAGTAAAAAATTACCTTATCATTTCTTGGTGGTACTTAGCGTAGGTATGTTGGCAGCGTCTCCACTTAAATTGTATATTCTACCAGTGATGTTTTACGAAGCAACACACAATTGAAATTTACATTTGTGTGATTGCACATGTTTAGTTTTGAGTCGACACCAGGAAAAATACTGGGAGACAGAGTCTTACATACCCCACCCACAAGTTAGACCATATCATAAATTTTTTTGTGTGTGACCGTGACTTACCTGTCTAATCCTCAAAACCAATCTTGGATTATCTTGTGAAGCATGTGGAAGTGATGGTATCAATATGTGAAGATATCTATACATGGTTTCAGTACATGATATTGATGAACATTGAGGAAGGCAACTCAATGTTGTTCCTTTTCTGTGTTTTGTAGGCAAAAATGAAAATTTAAAATTCTGTCCCAGAAACGCATTCATCTGGAAATTTTTATAACTCGATTCACCAGATGCAGATTTTGCAGTATTCCGCATGCCAACTGCTATCCTAATTAACGTAAGGAAAGGGTTGTCTATTTCACATTTTGGAAGCGACTTCCAGACTTGAAGATATGTGAATCTTCATAACCATTAACTATATACAAAGACATGATCGGTACCGGTACTGTCTTTTTAGAGAATGGCGGTGTTAGATTAAGAGTAACGTTACAACCAGACAATTTCTCATTTCACTTTTTTCACATGATCCTAGGCCCAAACAATTATTCATTCCTTCATCCTGCACTGACGTTTTTACGATAGTGTCTACTTTACAATGACAAGTCATGGTGCCAAAAAAATTGAACTACATTGGGTAGTTTTCATTTAGGTTAATGCATATTCCCTAAATAATAATAATAATAAATTTGGGGTCGATCTCAAGGTGGCTTCATAGGACAATGTGGCTTCATAGGACAAGGTGTCGGGTTGATGTTTTCTTTCGTTGTGCAACGCAAAACGAATATTTATCATATTGTCGTAATAATTTTCACAATCCGACAACACTTACATCATGACAAACGTGCTAACTTCAAATAAAAATACAACTCAACGGGCAACATTAATTAAGAAAGATGATAAGACTCATAGCAAAAACGAAACAAGTGTACCTGGCGTTGAGTATCAGTACCTAGAGATATCATTTTATTCGAAGTTTACGCCTATTTATAAGGCGTTTCTCCAATCAAGGCTCTGGAAAAGCATTCACTGATATGTCTACACCTGCGATGTTTTGGAAAGCCCGCAGTACCACCAGTTTGGTATCTTGTCATCCAATCATAAATTGACAAAATGGAAATAATTTTTCAAATAAATATATATTTGATGATCATAACGAGGGAGATGTTAAGTAGAAGTTTAATAATACAGTAATACCATATCATGTTCGGCCATAGATAAAACAAACACACTTCATCTTCAATTATAGCGAACTCGTTAGATTATCGTTATATTGGCTTCATTTTTTTTTTTGGACAAACCACAAAAAAAAATGGCATTTCTTGAATGATATTTTTTCTATTTATTTTTAGGAAGACAAGAAAAATTACGAAAACGTAATGTGAGATATGTTCGAACGCGAAGAAAAACAAACAAGAAATAACATAAATTTAAAATGAACAAGAAAAAAATATTAATATCATAATATATAATCATAATAGTATTGACAACAAAAAACCAAGCCCAGATCCATTCGCACTATTTTACAAATCAAACTCGATCAATGCCAAAGTGCATCAAAAAATAACCTCGACAGCTACTGGCAAATATTAATCGCCCTTGTTCTCTAACTTCGGCATAACAAAAATAAAAAACACTTCGTCGAGGTGAGTAACAATATATGTATGGTTCAGAACTGAGAAAAAAATGAAAGTAAAAATAGGATAAACGTTAATTTGAAAAATCAATTTATGTTAAAAAATGTAAAAAGCGTTTAATCTTAATATGCTGATAAAAAGTGAACTAGAGAAATTTGAATTAATGGTGACTAATCAAGATGACATTTTGTCTTATTATTTCTACTTTTCGTAATTTTTACTTTCTGAGTCACATCGTGTGTAAGCATCTTTCCGGGCTATATTAATAACCAATGCCTATAGCGAAATGTGTGGCAGATTAATAAAAGGTACAACGATATTTATTGCACCACACTTCAGTTGAATATGACCTTGAGATTTTACGGTCTGATTCTGCTACGTAATAATTCGGTTTTTATTTACACACAGAATGGCTTAGAATATCTGGCAACATTGAATCATTCAAATTAGCAGGGGATAATTTACGGTAAATGAGTTACTCATGATTCTGACCAGCAGATGTATTTACAAAAGCAGCATTAGTACTTGTGAAGAATTCTTTTATTTAGTAATAAAATTTAAATATGGGACACCTCTAAAAATCAGGTTCAATAGCATTATTCTGGCAATGGGATTTAGCAGTGGCCGTCTAATGCGACACAAGAATTGCTTTCACTGAGCCATTCTTCCAGGTGTCGACATCAGAAATATGATCAATTAAATATGCGCACGGCTTTAATTTTTTGTATTAGTACGACGAAATGCTGATATTGGGTGATATAAAAATAAGGCACCAACACATGACCCACTAGATATGACTAGAAGGTACCTATATTGAGTGATTTGGCAACAAAGAACTAGTTTATATTGAAAATGAATGATTTTATTTAATAAAAATATGAAAAAACTACAATATGCTGAAGCTGTCATGGAATCTAACTCGCCGTAGAAATACTTGGCAGAGTACGATTCAGTAAAATTTGCACCGAAATAAATGCGCGATAATTCCACAAGATCATAGCGAGATACTGCGTTTTATTGATAATCTTTGTGCTTAACATCGTTATTATGACACTTTGAAAAACCTATACAACATGCCTACGCGGCATGAAACTTCCCGCAAGATGTTTCTTTCAACAGGAGCTTCGCTGTCCGAATTGGGTCAACCCGGTTCTTGCCAGATATCCGGTTATAAATCATACGCTCCGACGAATATATATAATCTAGAAATAAAGAGCGACCATCGACGTCCCCGGTACAATTTTAGGCTTAAATCGAGGACGTAGTCTTTAGGGCCTACAAGTTCTTCTGCGGTGTAAACAACCCCAGTGGGGCGCTTAATACGGGTTGAACTTTTGACTTTGAACGCATCGCCGACGTTTCCGTCTGTGAGAAGAAACTCGTAACGATCTGTGCTGTGACTGCGTGCCAAACTCATTCGGAAGAGTGGTTTTTCTTGATTTGTGCCATTTGAAAGTGAAATATTGTGAAAGGATATTTGTTTTGGTTGTTTGAGACAAGACCGCGGCTTACCACGGCATGACCGCCTTGAACATCTCCTACTATATTTATGTTAAGCACCGATGCGAGCAAAAAATGCAATATAACAATTGAATACATAACAAGCATATATATAAATCCACCATAAAATACACAATATTACAAATACGAGCATAGCAGTATCAAACGACATAAGGGAATCGGATCCACAACATCGACAGAATCACGTGACAATTGAACATCCAATCCAGATCAACATCCCGGGTGTGGCGTACAGTAGACCAATACCAGTGCAGTGTGTAGATAGTGTATCGACCAATCAAAATTCAAGCAGTAAGCAAGCAGGAGACATGCAAAAAACAACAACAACATATACAATGAGACGCCGTTTACACCAACAATTTTAATGTATAGTTACAACTAGCGAAACCGAGGCGTGGGGTAAGGTAGGGTAGGTCCAGGACTGGCATGATGCTTGAGACGACTCGATATTCAAAATAGACAAATATGTCCGGTTGGGGGGGGGGGGGGGGGGGGGCAATTTCACAAGAAATTATCTTCCTCGAAACGAAAATAAGCTAAATATTATACTGTATACTTATTATGCTCAATCAAGAAAAGACCATTAATAAGGTAATAAGGTTCACGATAGCAAACCAGTCATTCAATATATACAAAAATGGAAGCAAAGCATTTGTAACTGTACTCACGTGTTAGATATCTTGGTATATCCGGATGGGCATTCCAATGACACACAACGATGATCTCCGTGAGTATTGAAGCAAGTTTGTCCATCCAAACAAGGAGATGTACTGGCAGCACATTCGTCAACGTCTAAACGTAAGATAAACAAGAACTGATGAAAAAACAATCGATTCTTAGATTATTGCCATAAAATGGCTCATTTTATTGTGGGTTGTTTCACTGAAAATTCCCTCATATTATTATGAATTTTTTCCTAAATCTTCAAGGTTTATTATATACTAAGAAACAATTCTTAGATATGACAAAGACAAATTAATTCTACTTAAGATACTCATAATAATATTGTATCCAATAACCGACGATATTTATCATTTATGATTTACATTTGAAGAGTAAAACAGGATTATATTGGAGCGCAGACAACCTGTTTCAAACTGTGAAAGAGGGTCTATTAGATTTCTTACCGTCACAAGTAGCTCCAAAGTTAGCAGACTTAAATCCATCAGGACAGAAACATTCATAACTTCCTGGTAGATTTTTACATTTATACTTGCAACTTTCTCCAATAGATGAAGAACACTCGTCGACGTCTGAAATAGGGAAAGGAATGAAATGTTGAGAACAAATAAGGGAGAAGAAATTGGGTTATCTTCTGTGTATCATTAACAAGTCGAACTGGGTTTATTACATTTTGAGGCTTGACCAACTTTTATTTTTGAAAGAATCAAGATAAACATCAAAGGACAATTATTCAATGCGTTAAACTTCTCAAGACGATCTAAAATAGTTGGAAATACCTACCTTTGCATGTCGGTAATCCATCTGTGGTGAGAGAATTATCGTATCCGCTATCACATACACATTTGAATGTTTTTGCTAAATTAACACACTTTCCACCTTCGTTGCATCGATGCAGAGATGGATCTTCACATTCGTTTATATCTGCGAATAAATAAATCATTTTACCACCAGTGAGAAAAAGTTTAGCATTGTGCAGTCAAGTCACACAGGCAGTTTTAGTTTCTATATGACAAAAGAGGGCGCTTCAGAAGTGTGTGTACCGATATGGAGGTAACTAATTTTTCTTGACTATTTTACATCAAGTTGTGTAGAGGGACTGAAACCTATGGGCAGGGGTGTATATTCACTTGGCTAATATAGACAAGCCCCGAACTCGTAATAGAATAGCAAAATCGGAATAAAATTATGGCCTAACCTGGTACACACACTATACGGGAGTACCCAAAAGAGTACTGAAATATTCTTTCGAAAAAAATTTGTTTTCGAAAAACTTGTATGGAAGGGCTAATATCAGCTCCGAACAGAAATACTTTCACGTCAATATTTAAAGAGCTACAACTCTCAACAATAACATTATCAATATTACCAAGGCAAAGTCTTCCGTCGGCATCTGCTTTGAGACCATCCGGACAAACTAAGGGATCTTCGCATCTAAATCCACCGTCTTCATTAATACATGTTGATCCACGTTTGCATGTGTGAGTTCCTTCACTACATTCATCAATATCTATAAAAAAAAAAGTTATTGTTCACGAGCTTTTAAATGAAAAATAGTCTCCGAATCAACTTATATAAAATGGTGCCATAATTTTCTTTGTGGCGTAATCAATCGAGATGACAACATTTTATTTTCATTCCTTTTATTATTAAAATTTGACAAAGTAATGATTGCAAATAACCTTGGCAAGACTTCAAATCTCTGCTGAGTACATATCCAGGTGAGCATCGTATCTTGGGAGGATCTCTACATACGAAACTCCCAACTGTATTTATACATGTTGCTCCTTCGCCACAACCAGCTTCTCCGTTCTCGCACTCGTTCACATCTACAAGACATAAATATGAGGGTTAAAATACTTATTAATTTATATTTTTATTAATCTAGCCATCAGATTTCACAAAAAATAAAACAGAAACTGGTGCAGTAAAAAAGCATCTAACCTGACCCCAACGCCCATTGCTATTGATGAACAAACAAAGCATTTTTGCATTTGCTTGCTACGGATAGGCCTAATCGGTCCACTTGTTACACAATGCATATCCCATAAACGTTTTTTTTAAAAGCTTGCACTCCTTATCACCAGCTATGGCTGCATCTCAATAAAAAAAATCAATGAATGTAAGAGTTACTTACCTTCACACAAAGTATTCTTTGCATTTGGAGTAAGTCCAATTCGACATTTACATTCATAACTACCAGCAGTATTCATGCATGTCGCTCCTTTTGGACAAACGAAATCACGAGCTCTACATTCGTCTATGTCTGGAATAGAGAAATTGATGACGGTTAAACAGGGTAAAAGTAATTCGAAACTTAAAACCCTCAATTTATACATATATAAACATAAAACCCTTAATTTATACATATATAAACATTCGTTCTTTGATCATTTTGGGGTTGAAATCCAAACCCTAGTAAACCACTTTGAGGGTACGATATTTGCCACAGTGCCAAGAAACAATTATTAGTTGTATAGATATGATTATGTTCACACACTCTAACTCTAAACGAGACTAACTAACTAATTATTTTATTATCAGTGAATGACACCATTAGTCCGATTATGTGAACAAACTTAAAGTATTGCTTTTTATTTGCTACGTTTACGCCATGAATGATAACATTATACATCGAGAAGAATGACTGCAGATTTTTATAAAATTATTTGAATCTGATCCAAGTTTATTTCAAGGTTTTATCAACACTCGATTATCTACATTTTAAACATTTTTTGTCAAAGAAATGATACAAAAATCTCTTACCAATGCATCTTCCAGTAGCGTCGGTAAAGAAACCGGCATCACATAACTTAGGGATACATTTATACGATCCTCTGACATTACGACAATCCATATTAGCAAGACAATCATGGATGTTTAGTTCGCATTCATCAATATCTGTAAGAAGAGCATAAATTGAAAAGTTGAAAAAAAAAATTAATAAAATATGCATCTAAGAGACGAAATGATTTCGGATTGTTATAATACCATACCCGCATGTGCACGAGTAAAAAGTCAGAAACAATGGCGTTGATGAAGTCGGGTCGCGGTGAACAAGTATATATGTATACAAAACAACACGAGGCTTCATAGTCAGAATTCAAAAGTTTTTGTTTATTTTTGAACAATCAGGTACCTTCACAGGTATTTCTTTCCGTTAATTCATATCCAGTTCCACAACTGATTCTACGTTGGCAGAAGAATGTTCCAACTCTATTCAAACATATTTCATGTTCTGTACATGTGTGAGTATTCAAAACGCATTCGTTTACATCTGTAAATTTCAAACAAAAAATTAGCCTTACTTAAACTGGCCCTCACGCTCGCAGTTTACATAATTCATTTTCTTAATGAATTTAACCTTTACCCTTGACTATTTCAGGAAGTTAATTGCACCCATTTTAAACAATTTTTGAAGAGATGGCAGCAATATAGTAGAAAAATAGGATTTTTTTACTACTGTATAATATAGAAATAGTACTAGTGGCGGAAACCTAAAGTTAATATTGAACTAATTTGACTATAATTTGGTTAAAAATATTCAAAAAACATATTTTCGAAAATAGGGTTTTATGGAAATAATCGTATATGGCTATATAAGATAAACTTGTTTTACTTTTAGCCCCAAATATATTATGATGGATGGTTTTTTTAATGCAAGTTCGAACGCAAAACGCAATGCAAGCTCGTGATAGTGCTAGATTTTATCTTGTGCACATAAACAGTTTTTCGTACTCTATCTTCGCCATATCACTTTTGGGTAACTAGTATAGTTAACTCACCAACGCAATCCATTTTGTTAACATGAAGTCTGTATCCCTTGCGACATGAACACACCATACCATCTGAGGTATCATCGCATATCTGTTGGCATTCACTGTCCGTTGCACATCGTGGTCCAGAAGGTTCTGGACAACAAAGGAATAAATTTATTGAAGACATAGTACTAAGGTTAAATCGCATCACTGACATGAAATCGACAATATCTTGGCTCCATTTCATTTTTGTATATAGCGCAAATAGCTGATTCAAGCCCAACTAAAAATGAGTTTGTGTCCGCTAAATATGGTGTTTGCAATAAACACAATTTCTGAGTGTCCTCCAATATAAGCGACAATTGGCGATTCTGCGAAGGTGTAAATGCAACGATGTTTTACCGACGACTTGTTTTCACGGATATATTTGATTACAGTAATTAAACAACTAATTACTCCTCCAAAATACTGATAAGGTAAATGACTGTCGACGACTACGCAGAAAGAAATGACAGAGTCGTCGTTTATGAGTTTGTTTAGAGTACGTCTTTATACTTGTCTAAGGGTACAGCTCCAGCTTGTCTTCAGATTTGTATAGTTTATCAATATAGTTACTGTTGAGTTCAAATGGCCTTGAGGTTCAGTTCCACGCTAGCCCTTGCATTGTACATGTTTAAAGCAGCACATAAAAATTAATGGCCATGGTTCGTTCATTCACGGGACCTGATATCAATATTTGCTTCAACACAAATCAACAACAAATTAAAAGTTTGCCGGGACCACTGTTTCAGACGACAGGATCCACGACTATTAAATCAGGACCGGATTATGAGCAGGAAAACATCACCCTTTGTTATTTTTATGAAAGTGTGCTCATTGCCAGGTCGCAATCATTGCTATAAAAGTGGGAATATTACTGTCACAAAGGGAGTAAAGCAAACATCGCTGCGCGCTTGGATCTACTTATAACATACTGATCTATATTGGTTGTTAATTTACTCCAGGATTCGACAATTACCATTAGTCGTTTCAAGCGTAAGTTATGTTGAACTGCACGGAGAAATGCGACCGTTTATAATATTTCTGGTAAGTTATGGTCTAAAATGGCAATTAGTGAAACAGCGCTGACAGATATACCAAGGGGTATCCCGTTTAAAACAATGGGTTCCTTCTAGAATATTGTAAATGTGAGAAATATTGTGATTGTGAAGTTTGGTTTACGTATAGGCCATGCCAGATTATGTAATTTATGGATGATGTTAGAAAACTAATTACGATAAGAAAACAGAGGCATTAAAAGATTTCGGCAACACGGGTGTCCGATTTGAGCGTTGTAAACGAAACCCAATCCCCAAAACGCATTTGTGGTTAACAGATTTCTTTTTGACGGCATTTAACAAATTGGTTATATCTATTTTGCCGTATTGCAGTACTACTAGTGAGCCTGTTAAAATATGTTCTGTGTGGGGGCATTTAGCTCTTTCCGTTGATGAATGCGAGTGCTTTAATGGTGGTATGGCGGAGATCCATATCAATCCGCGTGATTTATGAAGTAAACATTTGTCAAATTTAAAAGTTATTTTGGACCAAGTATGATTTTACCGTAGCATAATGTCCAAGTACCGACAGCCAGGCGCGATTTGACGCCAATCGGAGATGAATCAACCACAACAGTATTAAGTTTGTGTTATGATCACATCGTCTGCTGGAAGTCAAACATTAGGAAACCAAAGCTCACCCGCGACCTTTTGAACTCTTCGACCCTTGACCTGACTATGAAATAGGAAGGGAATTGCGTATTCAAATGCTACTTATAATATAATTTAATATAAAAAACTTCAACATTAGTTTTATACAAATGAACGACTCCCTCTTGAGACCGTCGCATACACATCCACACCCGAATTTAGGCCATAGAACCATTTAACAATGCGCTATCATGAAATAGGCCTTGATTCAATATTAATCTATGAAGAATGTGTGATCAAATACATAAATAAGACGACAGGATATTACGTTTGTTGAAATTCACATGAGATTTGACCTAAGTCTTGGCGTACTTCATTTCATTAGTTCTATTGTAAGAAGTAGTCATAAAAGTTGAGAATAAAGGAATATAATCATTACGTCTTTCAAGTAGATTTTTAACCGTTTAGCAATGGTCATAATACACATCGCATCAAATTTCTGACGGGCTGGGACAGTCACGAATACACAATGATTTTGCAGCATACCATAAAACGATAGGGATTCACATGCAACTATAAAAGTATAATCGGAAAATTTTGTTACCAGCAAATAATATGATGAAATCATCGTCTTTTGTGCCGCTTGGTGCGAATCCAGTAAAAGGTTGTTGTTTACCAAGTTCGTTTATAAAACGATTTTGGTGTTTGGCACAAGGTAATATAATGATTCATTTGGTCGCTATTGGATCAGCGTTGCCAAATTGTAATACATTTCTACCGTTTAAGGCTTTTAATTTAAAATAGTTACTGTTATTCATCAGATCATTCCATCCTCGATTGGATGTTTTTAATTGGTAAGCTATTTATGATTTCGTGATTTCGATATGACCTTGTTTCGACTAGCATTGAAACGAAACGCTCAGACATATTTTGAAAAGAGAATTGGTTTGCAATAATTTTAGATCGGTAATAATAGGTGATTAGTATGCATATATGACCTTAGATAGAATTCGATACCAAGAGGCGCACAAACAACGACACTTTGAGCATTGATTTCTCGTCGTAATATTGAATTTGAGGAGTTAGATGTTCCCATCACGTTTGGAAATATATATGATTTTCTGTTACAATAATCAGCATTTATAATATGATGAAATAGTTTGGCACCATTAAATTGTACACTAGCCTAATTTGTCCGGCGTTGTTGACCCTTGTTTCAACCCGAGGTAACAAATCGCTGGCACACAACACAGAATCATTTCGAAAGCAACGGGGTTCCTCTGTCGAGCCTTTCAAGACTTAACGAAAATTAACTCACAGACAGAATAAAAGCTCCCACGGAGTCTATTTACGTCTGTCTAATATCAAACATCAAACGGAACTAAAGTTATTTGATGTTCTTTTGATATACTATAGTATATTGGGCAAGCGGTAAGACAAAAGCGTACCGTAAGCCGTGGCGCACTTTTGCACTGTCGCTCATACGTTGTTTATTATGGTATACTTTATCTATCTATTCATCAATTCCAGCGATTTTTATACCTTATGCCAATCGTTAATTCACAAAATGTAAGCAATGACTTTCAAAGGAATGTGCAAATAAATTAACCACTAGTAAGCCCAACAAACTATATTCGACTTAATATATTTGCATTGCTGCAATTGGGTTAGGAAAAGCATTTCAAATTTTAGTATACCATCGACTAATTTTTCTTTGAAACGAATTCATCTTAAGCAAATAAATTCAGATAAACTGGAACTAAAAACAGCGACTCGACAGATATGGGCACCAATAATTGGAAACCTTGTCAGACCGCCGGGCAATCGATTATGCTAATTAAGCTTTCATAACATGGTTCAAAAGCTAACGTTTTGCAAAAATCCAAAAGAGTCAATATTTGAGTGCTATCGAGAAGTTGAATGTATGGAAAGTATATGAATTGCGCTCAAATTAGCTATTTATATGTGGCCACGCATATAGACGATTGCCTAAAACCATATCCACGTTCGGTATTAAACGAACCAGCTAATCAATCAGAATTACCAGTCTTCAGGGATTTTCAGAAAACCCGCATTTTGGCTTAGAGAAAATGTCCTTAAATAGTGCAAACTTTTAACATTGCGTCTTCTCAAAATACAAGTAACTATTCTCCGACCCAGGCAGTTTAAATTTCATCACGAGACCCCACATGGGTACGAAATTTGACTGTGGCAATGATGTAATGCGCTAAATATTAATATTTACTATCATATATCATAACTATGTGGCGATGAGCTGTTCTACTAATTTGGGAATAAGAATTGAGATACAAAAATAGCTATCTATCATACGAGATGACGAAAGCGGATTACCGAACGATTCTGTATAAGAGAGAATCTAAGTTTCAATGAATATAATGAAGAATGATGCGCGAACGCGAATTTCCCGTGGCATGGAATGTGTTCTTTTCATAAAGATTTATGTTAACAACATCCAGAACTGACATTTCGGCTTGATGAGAATTCACGAAGTATCGTAATAAACAGCAAGTGATTAGAAATAAATAAATGTGAGTCCAAATAATAAATATTATTTTTGATAATACCCTGAAACAAGTTAGTTAAATCGTTTAAATTTAACAGAGATGGAGAGATGTCTATCACCCGCGAGAATTTTCTGTCGAATTGTTTTCAATTCCAGCTAAATTACCTTTCAAACGTTTAAAGTTTTATCACAGCATGGTAATTGGTATGCCAATGAATCTTAGCTCGAAAGCTTTATGTCTAGTCTGAAAAATTCTGAACATTTTTGTGGCTGAAATGTTTAAGTATATATTTGATTCTTATACATATCACCAAAACTTTGCTTGATTTAACGTGAATTAACGAAGGTCAGTTTAAACCTTTTTGCAATGCATTATTTCTCAGGCCTATTATAAATCGGGAACAATTTGCATTGGAATATTTCACATTCCAAAACTATCTGCGGTAGCAAATACTCAGTAGTCAGTACATTAGTCTTCCTGAGGTTTCCCTTATCGCTACTTGTCGTCTGCAAACGGCATAGTTTGTGGTAAATGGAGGGTTGGGTGCAATGCTGAACGCCTCAAAAACTCAAGAAGGCTTAATATAGGTGCGGTCAATGGATAAGTTCCGGTATATTAATTTGAGGTATGTAAATGCACAAAATTTACTTATTGGATCAGTGTATAGTTTATTTTTAGTAAGACCTTTGTTACACATCCCCCACATATATATTTCTACTTTACTACTATCACAGCGGACGGTTGATAACGGCATTGTTAGCATCGAATCTTACAGAGTTCCTACAAGTATACGATATATGGGGCAAAATGATGCTACTTGATAATAGCGATTTTAATGCATTTATTCATTTTTTTTTATTTCAAAATTACATTTCCAAACGATATTCTTTGAATCAAAAATTGTAAATTCCTCCGAAAATCTACTGATTATTCAAAGTCTAATCCTGTCTTCACACAGTGCACCTCGAGTGCGACCTTAAAATGTTGTCCAGTGCTATATAACGTTGATCATAAAGATAGTTTCCACAGGTGCGCGCATATCGGTTTGGTGTAAAATAGTTTGTTGCTATCCATAGGATCAAATTTCGAGGATATGAAGACCAATGCAAGTGAGAAAGATTTTGTCGAGCATCCGTCTTTCACACTTCTTATCGCGTAGTTTGTTTTCAAATGCTGTTAAAGTTTTCCAACGCGCACGCAAAGGGAGTAAGCGATATCGAAATCAGGTATCAAATTCGACGCTTGTTGAGAGATTGTTTTAACCACCTCTTTGCACGTAAGCTAATATAAAATAGTTCATTCCGTTCTGTCATGGGCATATACAAATCTTCATGATTTAAACTCTAACCATAGGAGATCTTAATAGAATTATTACTGGCGACCTTTCACTTTCAGTTTTTTTTTAAACCATAGGAACATAAGAACAGGGTAAAAACCGCATGGGAAGATTATCGCTCAATTTGTAAAGTTATGATGCTCTCCATCACTGAGTCATTAGTGGAAGCTAAACGTTATGGATTTACTAATAATAGGTTTGAGGCTTCCAGGTTCGATAACGATAAACGCATTCTTTGTAATCCAGTATGAACGAAAATGAGCGACATTGTCGACTAATGGACAGGATGTGCGAATTGCAGCAACGTCGATAATAGGAGTTCAGATAGAAAACGTAGGAAAGGCATACCGGATGTATTGATTTCATTTTTTGAAAAGATCTGTCAAAATTGACATTTTGATTTTTTTTTAAATCCTATTTGCGAAAATTTGAATAATCTTATAAGTAATTTAATATTTTAAACTGAATTATAGTCAGTCGATATACCATGACATGAAATATTTTCTGTATGTTAATCGAGCAATGATAGTGTTAAAGTTTTTAAACTCTCTTTCTTGGATGACGTAGAAATCGAAATACGAGACGTAGAAGGAGGAAGAAACCATAACCGGCGAATAACGCTATTGTGTAATAATCGAAGTTTTACCACGCCCTTCAAAACTGTAAATTATATCATACCTGGGGTGGTTGTAGTAGTAGTTGTTGTTGATATAGTTGTTGTAGGTTCTGGTCGTCTGATTGGTGGAAGGACGGTATCGGTCATTGATCTTTGACAGCATTCTTTATATGCTTTGTTACATTGCTCACCTGTAATAGGATGACGAAGAATTCAAATAAAATCTGAATGTGAGCGTTCATTGATAACGTCCATATTACCCCGCATTTATAATTATTATACCTCAGATCGTATATTACTGAAAATTATTTTATTTACTCTTTAAATTTACGCTTGGTGTCGAATGAAATACAATATCACACATATCGCGTGCACGATTTTGAATAATTACAAAATAATATCACTATTTTACGATAAAATAATCCGAAATCATCACAAACTAATCACAAAAATCAATCTCTTTCGGCCAGGTGTTGTCTGCCTCACCAAGGACTATACATCATGAATGCAATTCTAAATGTCCAGTTAAAGTTGACCAATTGGCCGTATTGTTGACCAATCGATAAAGTAAATGACAATGGTAAACTCCGTTTGTCCAATTTGAGTATATTTTGCGAGATTAGGTCGGATTAATTAAATAAACAGTAGGACGACAGCCAGTACTTGCCAACAAACGATGATTATTCAATTGAATCAGACGTTTTGGGTTTATGTGCCCTATATGGCCTTATTGGTAATGGCCTATTGCTAATGATAAATGTAATTCATACATATGAATCGTGTTATATTTAAACTGTATACTATAATGGCAAAATGTGTGGTCTTGTTTGCGATCAATTGGGGTTGATATGTTTTGAAATAAAACCCGTGATTATGACGTATAAGTTTATTATATGTCCTATAATGTATGTATAATACAAAGAAATAACATATTCAAGTTTTATGCTCTATCCAAAGCTAAATCCAAATAGAATCAGGGCGAACAAATTCAAATTCAACATTTTCGAATTATACACGAAGAACAACGTTCATTTCCAGAATACCTAATTTTAAAACAGATGTAATAAAATAATTAGATGAGGCTCTGGGTTTATATATGTAGTATATCGCCATTATTTTATAACGTCATGAAAATCTCACGTTTTGTTTGGCGTGAATTCCTAGGAACTTTTGTTACACTGTGGAGGATGGTGTGATTGACACATGCCTTCAAAAAGTCACGCATGTAGAGTCATAAACAAATTAATCTGTTATCTTTATTGTAAATCTGACATTTTTTGCTTCAACGGAACAATAAATGTCTTACAAGAACTTTATATTATCTTCCAGTAAGACTCTTTCATTCGAATAATTTGGGAAAAAGTCACCAACATGAAAGACTTACCAAACATTTTGACGTCACAACTCAGTCCGAGTCCAACAGCTTTCAGTCCCATCTCACAACAATCGCAACAGGTCTGTTTAAGTAGATTTATAAGCATTACAAAGAGAAGTAAATTCTTATATTTCCAACTGTAGCAGTAAGCACTTGACGGAAATATTGACGAGAAATATATATTGCAATTTTGCGAAAATATGCGCTTTTATAATGAAGAATTTCAGCAGATACACAATACCTAAACGTGTATATTCTATTGAAATGCTACGTATTGTGATATATCATTATGTATTGTATTAAATGTCATCACGCATATTTTCAAGCATCACCTTATATTCATTGGCACCACAAGTACCGGTTACACTGCTTGGTGCAATACACATAGATAAACTTCGAGCATTGTCCATTCCAGCTTGACAATTTTGTTGTTGTTTGGCTTCCATGCAACATTTTTCCTGTCATGGATAAATGAAGTTAATATGAGATGACCAAAAATCTATATTGAAAAAAAATTTTGATTGAAAAACATCTTAATTCATACTGCCGAGGCCACATATTTGCTCAGCCATCTTATCAAATATATAGTAAAACCAACTTAACATTTATGTATTATAGCGCATAATATCAAGTCTCGAAAGTATGTTTGTTACCTGGGCCACAGCACACATCTTTGACAGGGTGCCAGTAATAGAGGCAGATTGTCCAGCACAAATAGCATGAGAGACAGCCCATTGTTGTCCTCTTTTGCAACATCTATTCAAGACGATCTCGAAATTTACTGAAAAAAATTAGAATATCATAAATTTTACAACTATATTTTACTGAATAACAAAATTTTAAAATGAAAAAGAACTTTAGTTCTTTTAGTACCTACACAACAATTATGGTTAAAGAACGACACTTACCTTCCTGCCCAGAACTTATTCCGCATAAGAATACTATGAAAGATAATTTTAGGCAAGCAAAGCCTGACACGGTCTTTAGAATATTCATCATTTTTACCTCCCTATATTTATGACAAATATGAAATCAATAACAATACGAAATAGTACTAGACTGAATATATTTTTCACTTGGCCTGCGCGCTCAACAAAACTCAAACAACGCTGCCTAAAAAATAACTTTTCGGCCGATATGAAGGGAAGTTTCAAATTATTATAACGTACGACCTAACGCAAACTGCAACAAAAAGTCTTCACCGCTATTCTAGGTTTCTTAACCTTTTTTTCATATCTTTAGTAATGATTTCCTCTTGCGTATAGGTTATATATTGATTACCTAAGAGACGATGCATAAACAATAATACCGATAGCTCTTGTGACCATGAATAATTCAGAACCGAACAATGAATAACACTCAAGACTATCAATTTTAAAATTTAAAATTATTTAAATTTATAAATGCACGAACGAAAATGCCCCAATCTGCAACTCCTGTCGCTCGATGAATTTATAATTTATTAGTTTTTCTCTGAGAATTGCGGAAAACAAGAATATTTGTTTATTTCGTATATTTCTCAAAACAAGGTCACTAGCACTCGCTCAAGGGTAACGGAACTTACTCTTAGAATAGGGCAATAAAAAATTCACTACATTCGCAACCAACAAACGAATATTATTGAGTTTCCTACCATTTGTTCGTTCACATTTAAAAGTATCCGCTAGCATTAGAGTTTACAAATAAGTTTCATAAGTATCAGTAATTTTTTCTTCTGAAAATCGAAGACCAATACTCTATCTACACGCTTTGAATAACTAATCGTGTATATAGAATAACAACCACCTCTGTCATTGTGACTAGGTGACAATGACTCTTATACAGTTGAAAAAGTGGGGTGCTAAGTATTTGATTAGATAACTAACATGTATTTCCTGATACTTGAGTTTAACGCGGGAACATTAACTCTTTGCCCGACACAACGAGAAGAAAGCTAGTTATGATTTCGAAAAAAATTTAGAGGAAACGAAAAGGTTAAATAAATAATCTAAGGCTCAAAGTAGGAGTCACGCGCAGTAAAAGGTATAGTGCATATTGCAATGATGAAGTGCAGGTATTCAAATGATTCAGCAATGTTTATCTGGAGTATTTGATTTTTTGAAACAGAAACCCTCGGCTACGTGGAAGAAGATTGAACTCAGGAAACAATTTCTATCAAAACGAAGTAATGTATGTGTGATAATTTTTCATGTTCGAATTTGTGTCGATTCTTCGTTTCAGCATTTCTTAACTGAAAGATCAGTGCAGCATGGCGTTTTCAAATCCAATAGAAAAAAGGAAGCGTAGTTCATCATTAACCTTAACTACGACCTTCTTTAAAAACGGTGAAAACATCCGGTTCTTGGTGTTTATTCCACTCTCAATAAATTCAAATCCCAGTCAGGCAAACGGATTTTATTGAAAGTTGACGTTTCTATTCAATGTAGTTAAATATAGCCTATTTTATTTGCATATATCCGGCTGTTTTTCAAGTTGTGAAAAGAGTAGAGAAGCGTTGAATAATCCGCTACGCCTTCAATAGGATAAATTATGTCGCAAAAAATATTTAAAATATCACAGCTAATTTACTGAACTTTTGGGGTGAACAAATTGCATAAAATTCAAATTACATCAAGAATAGATCAATCATACCTCAATATGAAGCATTTACGTATTACGTCTGCATACACTGCTTTACAAATCAAAATGCTAAATACATGGAATTAACGTTTACGTGCGGATTCTGGGGTTTTCTATGAATGTTCAAGAGTATGACTGTATGGTCAGTTTCATTCTATTCATGGAAATTGCCGGTTTTATGTTGTTGAATCAAGCAATTGCAACTTTTAACCCACTGATAGAGAATGACGTCAAAGTCGTGAAGGTTTGCTACTAGGCATTGAAAAGGTGATGAAAAGACTGCCAATTAAGATGTCTTATTCTAAGCCCAAAATACGTAAAACTTCATCGATTTCTCCGCAATTCTGTTGCACTCGAAAACTAATGTCTAAAAATTGTGGATTTTTTTATGAGTGATTCTCGGTCGACATTAACTAAAAGCTTATTCCATGAGAAATGAATGAGTTTAAACAGGCTTTGCGGGTGATTATTAAGGTCGATAATATGAACCACAATCTACATAGGAATGTCATATAATCTGTTTTATATTTGTAAGTTGAAATGCGTGTGGTCCTTCCTAATCCTGTCCTATGTTATGACAAGGCACATGGCGACAGGTCGGATTTTAAATTGGCAGGTTTAAGAGTTTCAAGTCACGCAGAAATAATGCCCGTGCCGTACAATATTTCACTGTGTGTATCTGACTGAAGCTGATTTCGTGTCGTTTATGAAATCAGAGAAGTGAACAACCTAAATAGTCACTAGTAGCGCAGTGGAGCATTTGATTAAAGTTGCTTTTGTAGAACAAAGCCATAAACATGCAGAAACTCAGCCGAAAAAGAAATTGACTTCAACCTTTTACATTACATCAATAAGTTATCATAATTGGCGATCAACTCTGATACATATGCTTTGCACTGCTTGGTACGTCCAACGTACATACAATTAGACAATGGCATGACTTAAAAGATGTATCTGGGCCCATTTCACATACCTTGTATTGATTTGCTATGTTATTGAATTGGTTTTTCAGTAATAAAATACCATGAGTTGCCGTACCGTCTCGTGTTATTATAAATATACTCATATTCAATTGCACGTGGCCAACAAGGAGCAAGCTAACGTTATTCGAAAACATATTCCCGCATAGCGGACTGTGCTTAACTTTCAAATTTTCGAACAATCAGTGCCAAACATCAATGCTTTCAAAAAATTGGTTGCCGAACCTCAGCACGCATGGATGCATCATCGAAAAATTTTAAATATAGAAACAAAATCTAAAATAAGAATAATTTTGTACATTCCGTACATAAGAAACAGGGGACTAAGCCTCTTAGCATGAGATAATACGTTCACGTCGCGTGCAACGTTCATATTATATAAACCCATGAGTTAGAGAATCTACAACAAATACAAAAAAGAAATACTTTGATGTACCCGAGGGGGCAAAAGTACACTTATGACGTCACCTAATTAACCTCAGTACCCTTTTGCATCTTCCCATAAATTGGAGAGTGTAGAAAATGTGAACACATGGTTATTGTGCACACATGGTTATTGTGCAGCGAAGATTGTTGAAATTTAAACCCGGGTTGACCTTCGATTTGACTTATGATAGGTAATATTTTCAGGTTCATTCATACATGCAAACAGCTAGAGATTAAACTGATTTCACGCAAAGCCTAGATGTGGGGGATTCTCCAGATATAAACAAGATACTATTTTATGTGCGTTGACTAAGATCTTCTTGTGACAATGCGACGAGAAATTATTTTTAGTGATGTTCCCCAACGAGTCAACCACTGATATACCTACATTGCTCGCGTCAAAGGACAGTAAAAGACAGAAACAGGATGGCTTATGGTTAGAGAAAACAAAATGATATCATTAAAGTATCAAATCACTCAAACCATAATTGACAAAATAGTCGAGAACGAGATATTATAGGGATAACGTATATTTTACTTTATCCTAATAGCTAACCCTTGACCCTAAACTCTTTAATACCAATCGGAATATTTTTAATATTTTCAACATGATATGCCAAACAAGATCCACCTACAACTAACGCTGTGAATTATGGTTTTTGTTGTGCGAACGCAGACAATTTTGCAACTATTAGTAATTGAGGATTTCTGAATTGGCCGAGGAATATAATGCGGTACTTGGGAAAGATGAAACTAAATTAGTATGAAATGCATGATATCACGCTAACAAAATAACTTATAATCTTACGCAACGTCCTGAGTGCATTATGCATAAAAAGTCAAGTTTGCCAGTATTGATAAAGTCATGGTGGATGTGAATATGAAATTTATAGATAATGGTAAATACTCGAAGAGTGAATAAAAAGTTGAATTCAAGTTCAATATATTTACTGACTAGACATTGCGTCTCAAAATCCTTTCAAAGTGAAACATTAACTGGTGTTTGAAGATAATCCATTCAATATACACAAAGGGCTTTGAACAGAATCTGTCCAAACATATGGTTATGTAGGAATTTCAATACTAAGTTCTGATTTTCTTTTATTACCGATCATCAAACCATATTTTGTCGTCTACGGTAGCGTTTAAGATTCTAGATTAGAGCGGAAGGCTTTTCATTAAAATGGGTCAAACATCAATTAAAAAGCAGGAAAGTGTAAATTAACGATAACTAATTACTGAATTAGTTATTTTACGGTGAATGCTGTCTATAGTGGTTTTGAATTACGCCACACAATCAGTCTCAAGCTGTATTTAAAGGTTCGCTGGTAATTTTACTAAGTACTAAATGAGGGCAATGACTAATAAACCATGACGTAATTACTCAAAAATCAAAGTTAGAAAAGAAAATTGTAAATGTTTTTTTCAAGTGGCCTTTCTCGATGAAATGTGTTTACATGAAGTACAGTTGGTAAAAATATATATTCAAACGATAAATGGGACTTAACTTGTAAGTTGGGACAAATTTTAAAAATAATTTTTTTTTTAAATAATCTCTTAATATTTTTTAAGTTTTGCTTCTACATATGGGTGAGAGTTAAGGCCGACATATACGACAGTGTGCGAACTCACCGCAGCGTATCTCTTTGGCTTGTTTATTGGTAATCCAGGCCGGATAGCGACTGTCATAATGGCGACTTCACAATAGCGACGTAATCAAGCGAGCGACATTCCAAACAACGCATTAAAGCAGCGACTGTTATGATAGCGACTTAACTCGTGTTCACTGAGTTGAATTTCCTGGTCGGTCGTTGGAAGGTAACGCTATGTCGTGTCACATTAATTTTAAGGTCGTTTGAAAAATTCCCCCAATGGATTTTATAACTTCAAGAAAGGAAGTGACATGATATGTCATGAAGGCTTTTTTGTACAGGAATGACAATACAAAGCTAGGGTTAGGGTGTGGGGGATGAAGGTTTGTGTGTGTGTGTGGGGGGGGGGATTTAAGAGTGCGTGTGCGCGTAAGCCTTGGGTTCAATAAAAGAAGTGATGTCGCTGTTGTGGCAGTCGCTGTTTCAAGTTGATCGCTGTCGTGTAGTCGCTTTATTGACAGTCGTTGTTTGAAATTAATCGCTGTCGTGTGGTCGCTCTATTGACAGTCGCTATTTGAAACCCTCGCCGTTTTATTTTATTCGTCTGCGGGGGCCTGCGTTTCGTTGCGCTGCGTTTGTCTGCGTTGGCGAACGTTCGAGTAGCATTTTTTGACCGCAGTTCACCGTACTGACAGTCTTGCTCTGCACATCCTGGTGATTTTCCGAAGAAAACTGGTGGTATTTCATGTGACAATCGAAAGTTTTGTACTATTTTAAACGTTTTCGAGTTGCATTCATAACGTTAGAAGTTCAGTCCTACAAGAGGTACCTGTTCCCTGTTGTAATATCACCAGTCTGGTACATTGGTATGACATGCCTGTCGGCCTGGCAAGCAATACTGGTACGGTATCGCGCATATCGGTACCACACAGCGCGGGAAGTCGCGGTACGGCGAGTTATACTGCTGTCGTGTATACCGACCTTGAGGCAGGCTATCATCAGTCGTCTGATGACATACAACTTGTATGAAGTTGACATGTATATTAATTAAATTATTGGGGAAGGACCAATTTGTCTAATCAATTTATTTTTATATTTCAAATCCCGTACTTATTTGAACCAATATTGCGTGTGTCTCGTGGTAATATACTCGTACATTACAGATTAAATGATCTTCAAAGAGTTAGCATATTTACTCAAATATCCGGCAGAAACCAATAAACGTAAAATAAACTCTTTGATATAATATTTGAATTATGCATATCCTGTCTTCAATAGGTTTCACAATGACTAGAAAAAATAATGTAAACCACGAGCGCGTCCCTTGTGCTTCCGTGTACATACTACGTGTGAGTGTCGCCGTCGAAATTGATTTAATTTAAATATCGACTTGGGTATAGCTAACAATACCATATCATAAGTTATGTTAATAAAATTTACTATACATATTCCAATAATGAATATGCGATTCAATATGTTATCGAAAAATATTGAAGTTTAGAAAGCTCATGGGGAATGTCGCACACAGTCCAATTCAATATCTCGAGTCTCGATTGGGAAAATCAAGGATTTCTACCAAACCTCAAATATTTGTAGAGTTCTTAAATGAATACCAAATATTACTCAGAAGAAGCGTAAACGATTGAAATAATGTTCCCACGGTGGTACAGTTGTCGTTATGAGTAAAATAAAGCAAAAGATAAATTTTGCGGATGATTTGACCCAAATCCAAACTTTCAATCTGAGCGTCTGATCTCGCTGAGTATGTTTTTGTTGGTAACAATAAAATTTGCGAGAAATTTCGTCAAACTGATTACGTTTATTCAAGCGTGATTCAAAGGTAATTTTCCATACTATAATTGCAGATCACGCATGAGTTGGATATGTTATAATCGATATAATTGCACGCCGGTGACTTACAGTGAAAATCAGGTAGATTTACACTTATGTTTTCTCACAGCTGGATGAATAAGCGTGACCAAGCGGGCGATATGTGTGAAATGAGAGGGTTGGAGATCTCCGCACACACTTCGAAAACTTTAGAACCATAATCTCGTTACAGATTTAAAAAATCAGTGAGTAAGCGGAGACCGTGATACAATACGACCCGTTTGACGGTTTCATCATTCAATAGCCTATTCATGTAACTTCTTTTAAATTCTTGCTCTAATGAAGCACCGACCAAGCAAGTCAGTGTGGTGTGTAACCCAAACTGGGAAAAATCATCAAAATTGGTCTATTTTCGACCAAATTGACTAAACAGTTCACATGGTGAAAAAGTTGTCGCTATTTTTCATACCCCTACGCAAGATGTTGAATCGCATAAAGTGGTCATTCATACAATGAACTGGATTCGAGTTCGGAAAACTGCAAATTGATCATTCAAAAGCAAACCGGATAATCCAATCAAGTTGCGGTGAACATTCTATTACCTAGCATTCACAAAGAAGGTTTAAATGTTGAAAATGCTATAATGAACCCTTATTGAGGTTGTATCCTTATTTTGACATATTGGTTGTTTGTGATTAATATAAATAAAAAGAAACTATATAGTAGTGTGGGGTATATATAAACAAACCGGCAATTATTCAAAGCAAATTATGGATTTGGTATCAGATATTATGAAAAAGTTTTTCATCTTGAACTGTGGGATGTTGAGTAGAGTACACATTTACGATAGCAGTTTTCACTGAAAGTTTTGGTCACCTTATTTGTTGAACCTACCATATTACAATCCCAAATTTGTAGTGCATGAGAGTTTAAAACGACTCAGGTCAAAAATGGTTCATACTTCTAAAAAAAGCAAGGGATAAAATTGTTGTCAAATATTTATAGAAAAATCTCGACGAATTATACATTTGAGTCAGAATTTGGACGCCTATGTTTATTGGAAGTAATATATCTGTAACGTTGACTCGTTGGTGTCGCGTGGGAGGGACTCAGGCGGCCCATCGATGAAGCCTTATCTGGAAGTTAATGAAAAAGTTTTTCGGTGAGAAAAATCAATGTTTTGCCAAAATAAAAGAGTGAATATTTTTCATAATATCAGTATCGGACAAACGCAAAAATCTCTGTATTTAAGCTCGATAAATGGATGGCTCACAATTTGCCGAGGTACCTCGTTTAAAAATCGTTCTCCAATAGAATGTGAGTCATATAAGGCTACATCTTTATTGCATCCGGCATTTGGGTCGTGAGCCTTATATGGGTCTCAAAGGGTTGATATCTAGTTATATTCAATAATATGAGTTGGTCGCATTCATTGAGTATTTTATGTTATTGAGGAAGCTATATCAACAAAAACGATGATTTTGGCACAGAAAATAGGCGACGTGAAATTCCTGGAAGAGTCCTTTGTTTGGTAACATATTTTGGCGAACCGGCGATAACACAGAAAAGATTGGGAAACGGTGTTAAATAACTAATGTTGACAAAATTATAAATTCAATATCCAAATGCCTGAAAATAACCACATTCGCAAATATAGATTTTTACAAAGAATAATACACACAATTATTCGTATAGCCACGTCTGTATAGACTAAGTGAAAATGAAGTAGGCGCAATCTAACAATGCACAATCTTCTTCGGACTTCGAAAAGAACTCCGGAAAGCAATATTGTACTAAAACCGGAATTCTCTAGTCGCTTCACCGACAGACAATAAGGCTTTTAAATTTACTAATGAGACAAGTCGGATATGTAAACAAGCATCCACTTGGTGTCTCCTACAATGAAAAACTAAAATCACGATTTACTAAAACAATGTAGTAATTTGTAATACTATAGTTAGTAATTAGAAGTCGAATTACTTCAAAACAGCAGATAAATTTGGCAACGTTTTTCAAAGTATCTATTTGTGGGTGAGGCATGGATGACGAGAAAAGTATGACAAAAAGTAGCATAATGGCTTGGGTCAAGTACATATCGACCTAGCAGGAAAATTAACGAGCAACATAATTGAAGTTCGAGTTGTTTAAACCCAGAAAACTAGGTCTGTGGTATGTGAGAAGAAAACCAATTTTTAACCATGTATAATATATACTAGTCGAATATTGCGCAATGTATTTAATGTGATATACAAATATTACAAACATTACCAATTTGTGAAGTCAGTCACATTTATGTGTTGTCCACGCTTGGACAAGAAAAAGAAGTTATCAATAGCTCTATAGTTTACAAACATTACGGTTACTTACAATAAGACGCGGATTTACAAAACAAATTGAGCTTGCTTTAAATTGTTTTTATGTTTACAAAGTTGTCAATTTTACGTAAAATGTTTCCGCCGATCGGATTAGCGAACTTCGCGGAGACGCGACGATCTTTTTTTTTTGGCCGGCGTCACTTTGAAAGCGTGTGGAATAAACTACTTGAACTATGCATTTGCGATTATTGATGCAAACAAGAAAACTAACAATTTTATAAATATAATCGACTCACATTCACTATTATTCTTATTTTTCTTCGGTTCAGATCTTCTTGCGTTCCTCGTTGTAGTTGTGGTAGTTGGTCTTCTGGTGGTAGTAGTTGTCGTTCGCCTTGTTGTAGTAGGTCTAGTTGTCGTCGTTGTAGTTTTCGGTTTTGTCGTGGTCGTAGTGGTTGTTGTTGGTCTGGTTGTAGTAGTTGTAGTTCTGGTGGTTGTAGTGGGAGTAGTAGTTGTCGTAGTACTTGTAGTTGTTGGTGGACTGGGTACATGGACAACGGATTTGTGGTGGGTGAGTCTTCCCTGTAAAATTGTTCGATTTGATTTTGCAATATACGTAAATTTCACTGGAAAGTTGAAGATTATGCATATGTATCACACGCACTACTTAACCATGCGTACTACCTATGTTTGGGGATACAGCTTAAAATAAACAGAAACTTTAGGAAACGGTAAATTATCCATGATATTAGACGCTGATTCAGATTTGTATCTACCTAATTTTTTTCTTTACACCAACTTTCTATTGTGTTATCATGTTTAGCTAGCAAAACACAACATTCAACGTTTGATCACTCTGATCAGAAATAAACATATCAAGAATGGTGATTACCTTGTTTATAAGGTGAGTATTATGTCTGATCTGTCGACTTCCGGAAGCCTTTGTCTCTTTCGTCTCTTTTCTGAAAATTAAAACTATGACGTAAACGTATGAAATTTATCGCTTGTATTGTTTGTGCAATTCAACGAGCATTATTACGAATTTTTTACTTTTGGAAATAAAAGCTGAATAGATTACGAGCAACCTTAAGATTTCAGATTATATTTTCTGTTTCGTAATCGTAAACTATATGTCATATTCCACAAAGGGTTATATTTCCATAAATGTATCAAAATACCAATAAGAAGTCCCGAGCGGTCAATAAAGCAACATTTCTTTGATCGTGTAAGATCGAGATTCGCATACTATAGTATTCGAGTGTAACCTTCACAAAGTACGCAAAGTGTAGATGAGACAAACAGTCACAACATAGCCTCCATAAATAGCGCCGCCAATGGTGTTATCTACTTGAGAATAAACCGAATCAATGAATCATGATACTTCGATATTCCAAACAGAATAATGAGGTTACTTACACGTCTTTTGCTCCATCACTTTCTATTGGTTGCTGTGAGTTCCCGGGTGAACCAGACGGGTCCATTGGCTGATATTGTGATCCAGTCTGACTGGGGTAACCTTGGCCTTGTTGTGAACCGTGAGGATAAAACGAATGGAAATTGTTTTGATAAGAACTGTCGCGTCCATTCACAGTAGGATATTGGGACATTTCTCCGCCTTTGTCCGGTGCGGAAGAAGGCTGGCTCGAATCAGAAACGGATTTAGAGTCTGCTGTTTCTTGACCTGGTAACTTTGCTCCATATGGATCGACGGTACCCATCCCACCGGGAGTCTGTGGCTGTTGGTATCCATATTGTGACGCATAATTGTATGGGTCATACCCGCCAACATACTGTCCAAGTTCACCATTTCCATATCCTTGCTGTCTATACATTGCCGATTGTGCATCTTGTTTTGTAGACTTGTCATTCGAAGCTGAGTCTGGTGACTTCGCTGATTCTGCATCACTCCCAGTCGAAAGTTGTGAGTGCTGTTGATATGGATCGTATCCTGGGTACGGTTGATAACCGCCTTGCTGATAATAGCCATTTTGCCCGTAATTTCCTTGCTGGTATCCGTAACCGCCGTAGTTTTGACTATCTGTTGTTGATTTGGACGTAGCATCTAATGAATTTTTATCGGGCGAATCCTTGTTCGTTTTTAACACATCACTGGCAGATTGGCTTCCCACAGAAGGATCCTGTATGGGATAAGACGAGTAGCCATTAGAAAGCGGTGGTACATATGCTTGTTGGCTACCGTATTGTCCATAGGCACCTTGATACGGATAGCCTCCTTGTTGGTAACCTCCTGCTCCAGTATCACTAGAAGGTTGGCCGGCGGAAGTCAGACTATTTGATCCGTCTGTATTTTGCGCATTACTAGATTCAACACCTTGTGGAGGATATCCGTTTTGTGCATAGCCTTGGTTGTAACCATAATTTCCGCCATATCCCATGTAGTTTCCACCATAACCCTGTGCGGTTTGTCCGTACGAAGCATATTGACCATATTGGTTTGCATATGGCATATTGTATCCTTGATAGTTTCCATAAGCATTCGATCTGTCACTACTCGCACTTTTAGAGTCTGCTCCGGTTTCCTTATCCGTGGTAGAACCATCACTGCCAGTTGCCAATGGCACAACCGGTGGAATAGCAGGAGAACCACTTGTTCCTGAACTTGGATTTTGACCGTACTGGTTTCCATAGTCAGGATAACTACCGTAAGGATACCCTCCGTACCCATTCGCAGCCTCGCTGCTGTGACCCAGTGAATTAATTTCACGTATTGAGCTCTCCATAGCAAGGGAATCTAAAGTAAAACGTGGGCAAATTAACATGAAAAAAGTATTTTGCCCAACATCACTTCAATTCAAAATAGAAGTAAAAACATTGTATTACCTGTTTTTTGCTGCTGCGTTTTCGGATCACAGTTCTCTTCAAAACCACACAATACTTCACCGCCTCCGGGAGGACAGAAACACGTCTGACAAGAAGATCTGCAAATTAAACAAAATAACTGAATTCAGTGAAGCTGCTAAAATTTTTAATTGTAGTCATAAAATTCTCTTACAAGCACAATAGTTACCGCACTTACACAGAAAGATGAAAGTTCATAATATATGGTATGACAGAAGTATTTAATCAAATTAATTTTAAAATAAGCAACATTGTTAAAATGTCATTGTTAAAATGATGTATATGTCTACACACAGTGCAAATCGCTAGTTTTAGATGTGTACATCTTTTTAGAAAAACGAAGTAATCATAGCACATTGTAGTCCTTTTGCTTGCATTCAATAATTATCGGGGTTATTCTGGAGTGAATGTCTTACAAGGTACAACCCTTAATTTTCTAGCGAGGACAAAGCCGACATATAGAATCGACAGTGGCGTATTTGCCTTTCAGAGACGGAAACCGCAAAATGTTAATTTGAACATCAAAGGATTGGATGGGTTATTACAACCGCTCAACAGAGTCACCGAAGGAATCCCTTTCAAGCAAAATTACCACTGTTGAAGCGTTGGCCGAAAACAAATTAGGCTCCGTAAGCTTGATTTATCTATGTTTGAATTATGAAAGAGGGGATAGCAAACTGCTGATGTAACAAAACAAGCCGTCAGAACAGCTGTCCGGAGATGCAAAGGGCAACTTCCTCGAAATAAACTCGATTTGGACGGTTTATAATAAGCCAGTTACAGTAGCTCGATGCCAACAAGGTTTATTGCTAATTGTCTTGGTATGTTGCCGACTCGTATTTACAATACTTTCAAAGCAGTAAAATATAATACAATACAGCACATTGGTTTTGGAGATTATTATTTCGTAGATCCTCGAAGAAATATTTCACAAAATCACACTGTTCCAGGTCACCTTTGTACAGCCATAGAAGCTTGAACCTTTGTTTTTCCATCATCCATGAGACATCCAATCATAGCACATTCCTGACATCCATCGATCTCACGAACAAACGGTGATATACAATTCGGTGGCAACTCTGGACATTTTGCAGTAGAATCATGATAACTAGAAATACAAAACAAACACGATTTGAAGTTGTTTAACACTGATTTTATTAAACATATTTGTTGTATGCAAGGATATTGGGCAATAATCAGAATATTAACGGAATGAGTAAGATTTTAACATTGGATTCAATAACATTACGATAACAACAAAAACACGAAATTGTCGTTAAAGCTTATTATTGCTTTGGGCGCCTCAATACCAAGTTGAATTATTTTTTTCAAATAAACCAGATTCAACCTCGGTTTGACCCTACTGAGCGAGCTTGGTGTCCTATTGTTTTACATGTGGGAGATCAAATAGAAGCGATCAATCTGAAATCTCAATTACTCTGGACTGGACTTTGTGGCGCCTTGATGGACATTGAGGCCTTTGCAAACAGGTTTCTTATCTTACCCACTTTCTGGCAATTTAAACATGAAAAATTTGGAGCCAAATGTCATTTTAAATGCTATCAACTTCCAACCGTACCTTATGTGCCCAGTCCCAGCTAAGTTTACTAGGTAAAATAACTAGAGAACCCTTTTAACTTTGCACTTGTAACTTCATCGACGTTCGTTTGTTTTTAAAACACGGTAAAAGTTAACCAAATATATTTTGCTATTTTGCCATGAAAATTTGATCAGATGTGAAACCATTAAATCACATGTTGATTTTAAAGTTAAATTTTATTTTGAAATGAAATATGCGATGATATTAAATTTGCAAGGCTGCGTTTCTAAGTATGCAGCGTCTTTATCGAAATCCCGTGTGAGACTGTGTAAATATTACGTTGAAGATATCTATTGCTTGGATATAAAGAACCTCTATAAAATTGCTGACCCAAACGACCAGGTCACATTTTGCAAAAATGTTTGTCATCAGATATATTCAAACAAGTTTTTTGCAGAGTGACATGTGGAAAGTTTTGGTTTCTTCATAATAACCTGGATGACCTAAGTCACACATGACCAATGCATCAGCCACACAGATTAAAACTGAACATTTCTCATCTTAGTCATATACACAGAGAATTAACCTCATGTGTGTATGCGATATTCCGATTGAACAACGCCATTTTGAGGCCTTCGTCTTCCATATTGTCAACTAATACCGACATTTCTTAAAATTGGGCGCTCCAGAAGTGTGTGTACCAATATAAAGGTAACTAATTTTTTTCGTCTACTTTTCATCAAGTTGTGTAAAGGAACTGGAACCTATGGGCAGGGGATATATCATTTTGGCTAACACAGACAGTCCCCGACTCGTAATAGAACTAAAATAGTTAAAATCGGAATAAAATTATGGCCTAATCCTAATACATACTACAAGAAGTACTGTGGATTTTAAATTCATAATTCTATTTTTCTCAATATTAAGTATACGTTATCCTGCCAACGTCAAGGCCTCGATAAATTCATAAACTAGCGAATTAACAAACACAAAATAGGTTTGACTTTGCGGCTAATCGCGCTATTTCTGTCGTAACATTTTGTATGCCGAAACGTGTCGGCTCACCCAAAAAATTGAGAACAAATTTATATCTTGTCATGTATGAAATACACGAATTTGAATTGACTGGAACAGGTTGATTGCTGATCATACCTGTTCGGCAATAAAAATGTGGCAATATTATGACTAGACAATTTTCGGTATCCAGCTAGTCAAATATTTGCATGTCATAGCCCGCGATTTACTTTTGTGGTATACTATCGATTGGCGACCCGTCGACTAAAAACATGGAAAGTATATCTTTCCAAGACTGATCTAGCGTCATACTTTCATCAGAAATTTTCGCCAAGTATATACAGTAGTGTTCTTATCAATTTCTGCAAGACCAGCAATTTGCAAGTTACAAGAATAGTTAGGGCCAAAAAACGAGACTCATAAATATGTAATGATCATACATTCAATATACACAAAGTGAGATTGTAAATGGGCGAAGGGTTTCAGACCACGAGGTCGTGCGCTGCAATGAATATCAAAGATATGGTTGTGTAAATAATGAAATGACTAACGATATTTTACATGCCGTTTCGAGAATAGGTTGAGAGATAAGGGAATTGCCTGGAATTGTATAAAATGACGGGGACATATGACAGCAATAAAACGGGCTCACAAAAACATATTGTAAAATTTATAATCCAGATGTCGAATTTTAGATGACTGACATTTCAACGGCCTTTTCTGCAAAAATAGTTCGGTGTATGAAATTTTATAGCGATAAGCACCTTCGGGGTGCGATTTTCCTTTGCTAGTCGCCAATTTCACAATTGGGCACGGATCTTTATCAAGTAGAAATACTAAATTTCTCTGATGTACCTCCCCCTTCCCTCTCTGCCGTTGTGAGAAAGGACAAAACGTTAGATAATTAATCATTTGATTACAACTGTTTGTGACGATTCGTAACATCTAGACTCCGCGCTGGGTGTTTAATTGCTGCAGTACAATGACTAATTGATTAATTTGTCTCCAGTTGATGACTATAAGATTAATTTGTCTTCAGTCTGCACGGTACTAGTTATAGCAAATGAAGCTTCATGTAAGTAAACTTTATTGAATTACTCCTCAATAGTATAAGGACTTGTCGGTAATCGTTTACACTATATATATATATCACATATACAGGGTGTCTCAAAATAAACGAAACCCATTAATTCGATTACCAAGTTTGTGGGTTTCATTTATTTTGGGACACCCTGTATAACGATCGTAAATTAGGTGGTACTTTTTGGCACGAGGTTCAAATCAGGTGCTAATAATAAAGAATATCATTCAATGAGTTGTGTATCTACTTCAGATCTCTAAATTTTCGCGATTCTCTTCTTTTATCAAACTTACATTACAACAAAGTATCACAAGGTGTCACTTAAAAAAATGGAAAATCATTCTCGTCGAATCACTTCAGAAACGTGTCATTCCTTAAAAAAATGATTCTTTAGGAAGCTGGGTGTGGGTGTTCTGACAATGTTAAGGAGTGTCACTAACCTCCACACTTACCAAACGTTAACACGCGTACAAAGCATTTGAAATAGATAAATGACTTGACGACACACCCACTGTTGAAACACGAATGTCAAAACGTCCGGATTAACAAAACATAATGATTTATAGCAAATCTTCAATTTCCAAATATTCCACGATCGGACAGTATAACTATCGCACATAAATTACATAGTTCTAACAAGATCCAGCCATGTTGGGTCATGTTTTATGAAGAAATTGAAACTATTTCTAAAATACTTTTAGTTATTTGTTTACTCACGTGACCCATCACGCCACGTGGTTGCTTTGTTTTTAAATTTAGCGTATCACTTTCTCACGCAAGAAATGGAAGATAGGTACGGTAGTTTATGTTGCTGTTAATTACAAGTTAACTCTCGGCGTTTTTGAATTTTTGTATAATTAAATTGTTTTACTAGATGAGATGCACAATTTCAAGAGCATTGAGTTACGATAGCATGCGAACGTTGTGAAAATTGATTACAGGTTTGGATTTTGGTGAGTTTTTCACGCAAGTCGAGCTTCTCTTTCTATCACCAAATGTCATCAGGTGGCTGTAATACGTGGAAAATTTACTCGCGGTTTGCAAGCGAGAAGGGTGGGAAAGTTACATTGCACGAATATGCTAAATAGTTCACATAGGTTTATAAAGTTCAAAGAGTGATGCCCCAAAACCAATCCCCGCGAAGATAATATTTATAAAACAAATTTAAACTAAAGTTGAACAAAATGTTAACAAACAAATGCATACACCTCATGTCGAAACAAAAGTTTCCATATTTGTTCTCAGAAATAGAAAACTAAGTATTAACTTAGTTGAAGTTTGTAATTCCATAATCAAGGTACTTATTAAAACAAAGCACACAATTAATTAGTCTTTATCGGTCGCGTGTTCAAAGAAGTCAAGTTGATAACAATTTAATAGCATATGCACAATATTTATTGCAAGAGAATTTTTTTAAAAACGGATTCTAACAATTTGACAAAGAATTATGCAAGTATTAGTAATCAGAAATGGCTTAATTACAATATAATTTTCAACTTCACAAAAAACAAAAACTTTACAATTTTTTTTGCTTTTTGCTTTTTATTTTTAATTGGGTGTAAAAGTAAAATATTGTAGGAAATGCGTACAAAGTCCATATATACAATGGTTATACTTTACGTCAGATTTTCACGGCGTGACGTACGTCAAGAATAGGAATCGTCGTCAATATATCATATATCAAGACTAGACACTTTTTTATGGAACCTATGGAATATAGAACAATATATCAAATGGGTATTTTGCATTACTGCAGTATGAATCATTTGTGCGGAATTATAGCTTGCGTCACAAAATGAGAAAGCGATAAAAATATTTGCTTATTGGTAAGAAGATATAATGTGAAAGGTTTCCAGTTGAATGCAATTCGTTGCTCCTGGTAAACATTACACATTACGCATCCACATACACACATACTCAATTAGTTTTATCGATGATACATTTTGTAAATATACCACATACCTGCAAGTTATAGATCCTCCTCCAGGAGGACACGAACATACTGTAGTCCCATCAGCTACCCTGTACGACTTTCCAGCTGGTACCGTTCCTTCGCTATAAAACAAATTAAATCGAGGATAAGTGAATTTATTAGATTGTGCATTTACTCATAAATAATTGTCTTTCCTCTAGTTTGAAATCATTAGTGTAAAACATATAAAATACGAATGTAATACAAAATCGTTTTACGGAAAATCCAATTCAATATTTTGAATGAAATAGGTAGACCACAGTGTGGAGAAATTCCTGACACAACATTATTGTTTTACAAAGCCATAATATGTGTAATATCCGCTTGTATCTCTTACTGACATTATCAAATCGAAATATCAGCATTTTTGAGAACAACAAGAACCCGTCTGTAACATATCGGGATTTTCTCCTAAATAATTTTCTTTATAATAGCTTATTAGTTTTTTTTTACAAATCGCATTATACACCTCCTTAAAAAATTCCCATCAATGGCTTATACAAGTACGATCTCTTTTTGTTTGTTTTTTTGCAATAATATCAATTCTATTTCGTACCAGTAGCGAAAGTAGGTAAAGGTATTGAAATTCATGACATAACGGTATTCTCAATTAAGCATCAGACAGCGTAACGCACGTTTCAACCGCTGTTATACAAAATGAAACTCATCCGATATGATTTATTTTTTGACAAACTATTTCGCGCGGAAACCAATTTTATTAACCAACTACCAAGAAAACCTTTAACATCACAAATTGGTTCAAGCATACATGTTTATAAAATATAACACTCCAAGATTCTTGTAGTCATACATGATCAGAGGAATAAAACTTAATAATCGCGTTTTGGGCCAGTTCATAATGAAGCAATTTTCATTTTTACCAGATATTAACTTGTCATTCTAAAATCTGTATTGGATATGTAATTTTGAATTCGTCACGCACTATACTGTGATAAATTGCAGCAAAGCTACTAACGAGTCAAAGTAATTCAGCACAATGAGTTGCAAACGCTTCAATTTCAAATAAATCCTTTTCCATGTGTAGACTGATCAGACATCATTACAAAAATTCGTTTAACTAATTCATTTTTTATCTAAAATTGCATACTATTTTGAGAAAATATAATATTTATGATTCTCTCGTATCCCAACGTTTGGGTAGTTACGTTATTCAAGAACCGTCTAAAAAATCTGGCGTTTGACAAGATATGCTTATACAAACAAATTATAGAAAATCATATTTCTATTCGTGCAATTTGAGCCGTAAATTGTCACGAAAATGACAGTGAAGGCATTATAGGGCATTTTCATATCGGCCATTGGAATGTTGAATTGGTTATCTTGGCATTCTTCCACAAACCCAATTATTTCATTAATCAGAAAAATATTCATGTTTTGCTTCGAAAAAGGGTGATGAGTTTTTGCCAATTCAGAGAATTGTCGACCCCAAACTGATAAACCGATGAAATAAATAAACAGTATTACTCATCAAACGCATTAGCAAGACTGGTGGTCGCGTTTCTAGGAGAAAAATACTTTACTGCGATTAAAGTCAGAAAAACGTCTTAGGTTATTGGTGCAGAACTTGCATGTAGCCTAAACTTCAGTTCTAAAGAATAGTATCATGAAAAATGTTAGGTAACGCATATTAAACTTTTCAAGTAAGTAAGTTATTTCTTCGTGAAGCCAAATATTGCGCTAAGCATTTTGTGATAGGACTGAGGTCTTTACGAACTAGATTGGCTCATTGCTGATTGATTTATTTCTCAACATCGCACGTAGGTGCCGGAATCGCGTTGTCATTCGAATTTCTAATAAGCAACGGATAGTTTTCTGATATTTAGTGCGAAACTTTGCTGCATAAGTCAAATTTGGATACAATTCACAACTGAAAATATAATCATTTCATTTCTCATCATATACGCTATGCTGAAGATAACTCATTTCTGTCTAAATAAACACTCAAGCCACAAAGTTTAGATTTCGATTTCCGCGGAAGATAATATTACGTTCCTGTCGTCTGGTGGTTATTTTCAATTGTGTTTTTTATCAATGACATAGTGTTGTGCTTTATATATTTCAACCCAATCGTGATAAATCTATTTTCCATTTGACAGTTAGCAGGAACACAAAAGGTTACCAAGAATATGATTATTAATATCACCAAATTTATTGTTAGATATGGAACATTTTCAAAACTTTTTTCTTTCCACTTCAGGCGCTCTGGAATTCATTAAAATTCCTCCATACGCTTCTGATGGAATTTCAAAAAAATTTATTCCCCCGAAAACGGTAAAAAATGACGTGTTGCTAATTAATTCTTTCACATTAGCTGTTTTACTAAATATTTTGTGGGATTCGAACCAGCCCACTCTCACGAAGTTGATTGCTAATACCCTTAGTCGGATTACATTCACTTAACTGGAATGACGTCTTGTTGTTCGAAAGGGTGACAAATCGAGGATTTGATTTCAGCCCCAGAATTCATCAAACTGGATCCTATGTCGATCACAGCGCCGATTAGACCCGCCCCTTAGACGAGGTGAGTAATTACTGATTGATATCCTAAGGGGTGACTTACGTAAGCAGTTGGATACAAATTTATCCTTGATCAAGCAGAATGTATAAACAAATTATACGAGATCATATATCTACCATGTATAAAATTCTGCCAAGATAAAATAAAGGATGAAATACTATTCAGAAGCTCCCAACAATAGGATGGAATGATTTCACTTTCAGAACGATAAAAATCGATCTCGAAATTTAGAATTGTTTAGCGTAAACGAAGAAAGCGAGTCCATCTCAATGCATGAACACCAAATAAGGATCGAAAATGAGCAAAAACATCAGATTCTAGTTAAAATCAGAGACATTCGCCGAAATTAGTTTTCAAATTTGTTGGTAAACTTTGGATCTTTGTCAGTTTCTAAAGGTTCAAGTAACTCCTTCAACATGAGATGATTACAACAATGCATTTAATATGGTTGATAACAATTAATTACAACATGTTCAACAGTCAGAAATCGGCCATGTACGGCACATAGTAACACATAGATCTCACTGGGAAATATCAGTGAAACATGAAGAATCTAATCCCTACTAAGGAGAGTTGATTGAAAATAGCAAATGTTATTAAAAATACTTTCTCATGACCTTTTTCATCGGCATGTCTGGAGTTTAAACATGTGTTATCCAGGTTCAAAAAACACGGATGTTCAAGTGACGCTGAGTTAGGTATTTCAGAATACCAACTCGGTCACGTATGTTGTAACATTCATAAGTATTGAAAGACAAATTCGCAGTAACCATATGTTAACACTTAAAATCGGCAAATAAACAAAGGTACACAAATAGACCACAATTTCCAAATCCACTCGAAATAGAGTTCCATTTTCCATTATCGACTGCTACCGACCTTGATTTTACGATTTATACATCTCACAACACGTTTATGTTTTGTTTAGTAGACTAAATAATTTCCAGGCAACAAGCCAATTGATGCTCTCAATATTTATTTTCTACCTTCGTAACACATAATATTGTTGCTCACCATTTGGAAATGATAAGTATGTAAATGTGTTGTATAACCAACATACCAACCACATCAGACCAAAACATAATAATGATATTGCAAATAGTGTGTCTGATTAATATACAGAATGAAATAGTTGAAATTCCACGCAGTTAAATTCGTCTTCAGGCAACACTTGAATTTATAGTAGCGACTTGAAGGGTCGTTCATCACCACCTTGTAAGAGGTAACGAGGATCAGTAATTGGGACAATTAACGTAACGTTACACAGTGAAAATGGTGCGGTATCAAGATACTATCGTATTCAAAATTGTGCCCTTTCAGGCATGATCATCACAAGTCGAAAATTTGCAATAGCTTTGGATCATATATTAATATCTATAAATAAACCGGAATGTTAGATTTGTAACACGTGTCGCATTTTATTTGCAGTCCCATTTATAAGACCATATTTAATGAACTGAAGATAAATATTATTATACAATATTTGTTTATCACAATATGACATAACTCTATATGAAACGTGGATTTCATAGTCCTTTGAAGGCTTTGAAGTCAAAAACTAGATTTGTTTATATTAGGTTAAGTAAGCAAATTTTCTTTTGTAAAGAATCTTAGAAATTTCAATATTTAAATCATTTAGTGTTAATCTTCGATTTTGAAAGGGCAGGCCGCAAGTCACTAAGTAAGCTCGTAGTTTTTGTCGATGTCCTCGTTGTTTATGAGACATGCATTCCCTTCTCAATTTGTCTGTTTTAATACGTTTAGTGATATTGGCTGTAGACAGACTATTGATTGCTCGAAAGTAAAGCAGGTCAAAATACATTTTATTGTTTCATTCCCTGGCTACGGAAAGCGGCATGTGATGACTATTATATAGCGATCATTGTCCATTCGGCAAATTATGGATGTGCAATGAGTGTGATGTTACGCAATTTATTAGTGCCACCGTATTATAACAATGACAATGATAAAAAAAAATCCCATTTCCCATCATTCAACTGCATAATGGGGCACAAGCATCCGGAACCAAACTGTCAGAAGCGAGAAATATTGCCGACACGTCTTCCGCGAAAAGGTTATGAGGGATCTGGCAAAGACTAGCCGTCGTTACCGCAGTCTTGCTAAATAAAATCATCGACGATGTGGCTTTACATTTAATTAATCATCAGGGATTTGATCACATGCAATACTTTTTTGTGGAACTTGCGGCTAATTGCAAACGAGACGATTTCCTTTGCCAATCTGTACGCCGACGTTTGTGTTTTGGTTTATAAATATCTTGAGCATTGTGCTTCGCGTTGAATCATGATTGGCCCATGGCCTACAATGTACGACATAATATTTAATACTGTCGTCGTGGGAATATTTTGAGTCGCCAGCCCAGAGCTTTTCTCAAACATTTTTCAGACTGTCCGGGATAAGACAATTACAAATGTCCATACATTACTACAAACTACCGTCAACATTATTAATTTTACACATATGGGATATCTCAAGCAAGGTTCACTTTCACTGATAAAGAATCTTGCTGGAGCGTTTATAGCGTTAAAAAACTAATCAGATTTACTCCTTTTCACGCTAAATGCAAATTAATCTGACGAGTTTATCAGTTTGTGACTATAATTGATAACAACGACAGCGTACATCTGTATTGGCTACAGTCCCGTTAGGAAAACAATATTCTATTTTGTTGAAAGACCAACACTTGATGTAATACGCCACGAGAAACCTAACTAAGCAATGAACTCTCGCAAGTTTACTCGGGTTTACATCATTCCATCAACAAGTATAATTGAGCGCTGAAATCAGGTTAATTAATTTATATCATGAATGAGTAGAGAAAAGGTCCTATGCGTCGTTGAGTCGATTACATGAGTATTGATATGTTTTATCAAGTAGTGTGCACTGAATATTCTGTTTCTTTTTTCATCTTTTTGTTTTCAAATATAATCATAAATATTTGAGTAGGCTAACTAACCTGAAACCATTCTGTTGACAATCATATATCTGATAACCTTCGCACACACATCCATAGGTTTTACATTTTGGACAACACTTCGTAGCGTTCATATCAACATCTAAGCAGTTCAGAAGACTTTGGCATTGGACACCTCTGCATTCGTCTGGCGCATCTGAGTCGCCCATCCCAAGTCCTTCCATTGGTAAAATATTTCCTGCGCCACCTGCTTGGCTGGGGTATTGAGATTGCTGAGACTGCTGGTAAGTTTTCAAGTCTGAAATGATAACAAATAATTATGTTTTTTAAAATGTAAATAAGTTCGCATTTATAGAATTTACAAGAGCGAGACAACAATCAAAACGCGTTTTTCTAACATGATCCACAACGAAACGTTTTCGACGGGAAGCAAAATCAAGACGCGGATTGAGTGTGGAAACCAATTTAAAAATGCTTCAACCACGAAATAAAATAGTCATTTTGGATGCTAACATTGCTAAGAATAAAACCATGTCATGAGCTTCCCACTTTACTGTTAAGTATTCGGAACGTCTGGTTCTGGTACTGGTTCAATTTTCCGGTATATCGGTAAGTAAAGTATTAACGATGCAGCTGAAAAATGATTTTGTCCAGGTGAACTTTATGACAAGTTACTTTGTTTGTGGCCAAGTGCTTAAAATTGTTGTTTGTGTATACATAAATATGGTCGTCAAAATGTTATTCGAGGAAGGTCTGGTATGCGGTTTCCGTCATTCGCTGCGGTCATTTCTCCAGATCGAAGTACCAAAACAAAAGCTATTAAACCCTCATGCGTAAAACATCTGCGGGGCCATAGGAAACTCGTAAAAAAGAAGACGTCTAAAATAAAATTTATTTCACTCAATCTGAAAGCCACAATGGAAAGCACTCTGTATTTCGAGAATAGAACAGTGAATCATTAAATTTAACGTCTTAGGATTACTAGCTCAAATAAATTGAGCTCAAATTAATTGTTTTGTGAATAAAACAAGCAATGGATGATACATATGTGATCAAATTTACGATAATTGGTAGGCTGCCAAGGCCAATCTCATATGTCCCGTGTACTCGGGCTACAAGCAGTTTTAACTACATTCCCACAGAACGCAATTTAAATATTTACTGCCCCCAAGAAGTCGAGCATGTGCTCTTCATGAGCGATCCAGCATGCACACCCAAAATATAACAGATGACAATATAATTTAACAGCGCACGTTTTAAAAGTCAAATTAATAGTAAAACTGTTAACGTTGTTTAAGCGCCATACAATACAGCGTTGCCCGCACACTAAGTATCTACATAGTTTGTGTTTTAACAAACGATTACCAATTACAGATTAGGCTACAAACAAACAAAAAATTGCACTTTCTCACGCATGCTATCGACATTTTTCTTTCAACGCAAATTTCTGCTTTTTAATGGTAGACAGACACACGAGATAACGTTGATAACGATGAATTATCCTGCATTTTTTTCCACACGAATCTTATGTTTCAAATCATTTTCTCAATATGCTCTTGAAAGCAAACTTATCCCCATTTATGTGGCAAAAACACGATGGGAAATCCGTGCGCGGGTACTAAGATCATTTCTCCTCAATTTTGAGAATCGACTTTCCTCAATATAGCAGTTATGAATGTCTGCACGTCCAGCGGGAAAACATCAATTTAGGGACAAGCAAATAGTGGACAAAAGCCAGCAGCGACATCATGGAGTAATATTCTGGAATCACATTTTTCAGAAAGAGTTATTTTCAAGCTCGTACGGTCAATATGCCATATATTAGCTTCAGAAAAGTTGGCAGTTTGTGATTTTGCTTTGTTTGTGACATGACAGTTAAAAAAAATTTAGCAGTAATTGGCTAACATTTTAAATGCTAAGCCTATAATTTTGATATCATGCAAAAACTAGTAGATGCAGAAAACGAAATAGAAATAATTTCGATCGAAAGTAGATCTATTCTGCAGATTCCATTAATCAGAAATTTTACGATTGCCAAAAATTCCCAGTTCCGGTTACGAAGACACGATTCCCACGAGAAACAAAACAAATATCCGCAATACCGATTTATTTACTTATGGATTTTGTATGAAGCCTAATTTTGGGTGATAATGGTTGACCTGGGTCAGCAGACACAAAGCAAACGACATGTCAAGAATTTCGAGACGATAGTAAAATCGCTTTTTCAGCGTAATATTTTTAACCTTGGCCGGTATACAGAATCTGATCTGGGCCCATGCCTCGTTGTTAACAAAACGAGCAAATTACAATTTTTCGTTGTGATTCGTGGTTAGCTATGTTTGCGTAAGATCGCAATGTCAATGTTGTCTCATAGGTTTGATCCGCCATTACGTCTCAAAAGTCGTCACGCATAACGACGTCACGCAGATTATTCAAGCCCAGGGTCACGATGAATATAAAATCGAGCGACTAAGAGGTTTTTGAAAAAAACAATAAAATTTATATCAAACTCGCAGGGGTTTAGATGAACCCTCTTTCGAGTATGTATTCAATCTGAACTATTCAGAGATATTTAAAGAGAATAGAAATTGAAAGAGTTACACTTCGGCTATTAAAAGTACGCCTACTAAATATCTCAAATTCGTAAATGTTAGGGAACACACGCACAATACAATTAAATATCCTCGATTTTAGTGCAGAAAAAGTGCCTGACATAATAATAGTTAGTCTAGTATAATAAAAAACGTCCACTGACCAGTTTGGCTATGAAGACCTCCACCCATAGTTGAATGCTGTGAGTTTCTCATACTGTTATCCATAGTTCCATATTGATTCACTCCATATGGATTCGTCTCCTGTCCAAAAGATCCACCCATTCCTACTCCTTGGCTATCAACATGACCCCCATAATTTGGCACACCACCGACTCCCATTGTGTTAGGAATGACCGGGACATGTCCTTGTTGTCCAATTCCAGTGTAAGCATTATCCCAAGAAGTTGGGTCCCGTCTCGTTCTGCTATACGCTCCGTAATACCTGTAGGGATATGAATATGTTCCCTTTGGCAGATAGATTAGCAAAACTGTCAGACTCAGAATGGAGCCAAACATAACTTGATTGAGCATGATTTTCGAAGTTTTTTGTCTTTGGTTCTAATTGAACTTTCTTATATCGCTGAACTTTAGCTGTGGCCCGGCTTTAACTTGTCTTCACTTAGCTAAGGCAAAAATCTGTGACATGTGAAAAAATACATATTTAGCATTAGATAAAAAAAAGTTTAAATATTATTCTCGACGTTTGTTCGGGAAAGTATATCGTTTATTGCGTTAAAATCATTCTGCAGAAAATATGAGAACCTACGTCCGCCGCTATTATCGGAATAAAAATATGTACATACATGTTCTTACGAGGCATTTATTAGAGAGTAAATACTACTATTGACTGTTGTATGTTATACAGATGGATCAAATTAAATATCTCTTTCTCTCTACTCAATTTACTGCAAATATATCTGACGCTGATAAAATTGTTTTAAACAACTTTAAGTTCAAATCAAATCACGGAAAATGCAGATCTTGACCAAATTTAAAACCTAAGCTATTTCAGTGAACGGCACTTCAGCTACTTTTCATCGTTATTTTTGCCTAACCGCCAAATTCCCACTTCGTTTTCTCATTCGCATACCACATTATTGCTTCTGCGGTGTCGATAAATCGGAGCAATTGTTCATGAAATAACATAACTTACAACGAATTCCCAAAGGTGATGAGCAATCTCTATCTATACTTGAAAAGAATACTTTTAAAAGTATTCAAAAAATAAGTAGTATGACCAGTAATTTTTTATTCCCTGCGTTACACAGGCTTTTTAAATCAAGCACAGGAAAGTAAACACCGGTTAAACGTGATTGAATATAGTCGTCGGATTACGGAAAATTAGCCTGCCTACTTCTACACTCATTCAGCGCTTATATTCAGGTGATCCTCACCAGAGGAAACCGGAACGCTCGACTTGTCTGAAACTATGGCGTCAATTTAACGACGCAGACACGTTCGCATGAATAGCATCATAAATATTCCCAAAATTGTCAATTAATGCGGTTTAATTAGTTTGAGGTACACTTACAAGTGATCTTTCCAGCCTGAAAATAGACCATTTTTCCATCTCGAGGGTGCTTGCGGAGGGACACTTGAGAAGCATCTGCATCGTATGACGACATGAGCAGACGTATCTACGTAATATACGAGCGAGCAGATGTATCAACGAGGAAATCAAGAAAGGCGAAATGTCTACTTATGATGGTGAATTTTGACCTCCTATTCTAATAGAAGTAATTCAAATCGAACGAAACGATTGCAAAATAAAGTATCATTCATTCAAAATCCTCGGCACATTACCCTAAGAAAAATTTAAAACCAATTTCTCGGATACTTGCTACCGCAGAGAACCTTGTGCTATCACAAAGTACATCTCAGTTGAGAAATTTCTTAAAAATAATACAAAGATCCCGATCTACATTGTGGATAGGAGCGTTGCCCGTAGGTTTGAAATATTTTCTCGATTTTTTATTTGTATACCTGCTTCAATCATTTTCAAAATTCCGGCGTATGGAGAAACCTCAATTGCCTATAATAACAAAACCTAAAGCCGTTAACATCGGTAAGATATACCAATAACACAGCGTCTAACAGAAACCAACTTTCGCAGTCAAAAATGAACCCATAACAAATGTCAAGTTGCCCAGCAAACGACCGGGAAGTAATTCGTGGTAAGCGAACCACGAAGTAATATCTTATTTCATTTTCGCTCATATTTCCATTTACGCCGTAGATTTCATACAAACAGAGGTAAAATTTGCGTAGGATATAGGGGATTGTAAACCAACAAATAAATCACAATTTCAAGCCGCAAAACTGAACGAGACGTCGGTTTTTTAAAATACAACACCTAATATACATCAGAATGCAAATGCATTACCTCGATTTAACGTAAACTGACTTCAGTATACCATTCTACAGAGTAAATACAGAACTTACGTGCGCAAGCGTGAATCATAATTGCGTACTACCCATCTTGTAGTTTATATACATGGTTGGGAGACAGTACGTCGTGTATAATGAATTTAACTTGCTGTTTTCATATTTTTGGCAGTGAAAATTACTTACATCGTTATGATTCTACAATACAGATCATGTACTATAAGCATGAGCAGAGTACAAATACAATACCCATGTGCTATGTCATAACCCAACTAAAGAATATTGACCATAAATTTCAAGAGCAGTAATTTATTTATAGAATTTTACTTTAAAAAAATGCATCTGTACGGTAATAAAAATGCTAACAATGTCTGCAAACGGTTTCTCAGCGGTTAGTTGTTACTACGCTACATGGTAAATATTATTAGTGAGTAAATAGGGGTAAATTCTTCGACAGATTGAGAAAGTATTACGTATGTGTGCTTTGGAGGGGAAGGACTAAAAATACAACGATCCAAATACGTATGCCTGTTGGGTGTTTGTGAAATGTACGTATTTGTACATTACGTCACAATGGACCTTTCCCCGACCTTTGACGCAGAGTACGGTTGCAATAAACCAGGAGTCGGCAAACTACGGCCCGCGACACTTCACTGAATAATAGTAACAAAACAGCTGCTTTGAGATTATATTCTTTACGTAACAGAATTCATTGTGAGACACGTGTAGACTAAATTATATTATAATCTAAGTATAAAATTCACAATTACTCGTTTAATGAGCCTATAATTTAATTATAAATAGACAAATGCCAACAAAACGCAGAAAAGTTGATGCTGGGTGCAAAGGTTTCAATGACGCCGTAAGTATTCAAATGGGATTTTTTAAGATGCAATTCAATGAGGAAATAAATCTATATATATTCTATTCGAGAGATGTATCACTGCTTAATTTTTATTACAAAAAGTATCATCCGTTCGGTTTTCAACTTTCTAAAAATATGTGCGGCCCGCCAATGACTTGCAACTCGTAATTTTGGCCGCGAGCGACAAAAGTTTGCCCACCCCTGCAATAAACGCACCTCGAGTCCGCAAAGATTTTCGCCGGTGAGAAAATAGTCCGCAACCAAAAAAGGTTGGGAAACGCTGTCCTAGAAAGACAGAGTAATCATTGAATTATCTGATTTATATTTAAGTTTCCTAAACACAACTGAAAACAAACGAATAGAGTTCAAAAACGCGAAAACGAGGTAATGTTTACGACCACGCTTGAAAATCTGTCTTAGTGAGAAAAGTGTCTGAGCGGATGCAAAAATGGAGCATTGTTACGTCGCTTTTTGCATCTTGCTGATTGGTCAATGTCACGTAGTAATAAACAAGGAAGTCGATGCTCGGGGAAAGGTCCATAGGGCGAAATGTATGGACATTACAATTCAAAATTGGTTGTGTGAAATAGAAAAACTGGCCATAAAAATACTAGCATCTTTTTTGGAGTACCAGATTCTGAATTCACCAAAACTCGGGATGAGAAATTAGGAGGGTTAATATAATTTATAACAATTCCTTTGAAATCGAGATTAGTCGACTTCCGTTTCGTTATTAAGACGGTTGGTTAGAATTGCTGTCTGGTGAGACTCAAAAGCTATTACGCAATGTTATAACACAAATAACATGAGAAATCTTGATGGTTTACATTTCAACGCGCGATACAATATTCCAAGTGAGTACTCTCAAAAACGATGATTCACTTTTACTGAGGAAATCTGAAACCAAGAAATCAAGTGTGGCCATGAATATAACATAATATCAATTTTGTTCATGCTTGGCTAAACTTAAAGCAACCGCAAAACCTTAAGCTCAAATAATACAATAGAACCATTTGTAGCCCACCAAAGCATAGCTTATTTAATATAAAGCAATATTGTTCTTGGCATCCGACGTGACGGCTTTTGCCGCCTCACCGCAGACAGGACCAGTACATGGTATTTATGACGTAATATCCCTGTAAAGAAGGAGTATGTAATGTCATAATGTAACAAAATATCCGACATAAATTGAAGGCTTGTTGATGTTGATGTTGATGTGAGATGCGTTTTGTGATAATCTGACCACTGTATTATTCTTGGCCTAGCTCATCGTAGATAGAAACCCAAGACAAGGTAAGAAAATATCTTAAGGCAATGCTTAACAATGCTAACTGAGAATATGTTTAATATTTCTCCTATAGCTTATCGTCAGATAAAATCGATTTTTCTTTTGTTCGGACTAAAACGACAATTTTATCATCGACAATGAGGTAATAGTTAATAAATGAGAGAAAAATATACAAACAAACTTCGAACAATAGTTGCGCGCTAACCGCAAAAATACGCAAACGGTATAAATAATAATGTTGAGAACCAAGTTTTCTCGTTACCTATTTGTACCAAAATTTTTACACATTTGAGCGTGTGACACATATCGACAAAATTCATGACGTTTAATTACAATAGCTTTATGTTTGTCATTCAAACACTACATTTGTCACGTCCGTTTAATCAATGACGACATGTAATCCAGGGCAAAGTTATCCATTATTCCGTCGTTCATCGAAACAAAGTGTGACCATGTATCGTGTTCGTGAACATGGCAAGCTTTCCAAAACATATCTTTTATTGAGGTTACAAGTTTGTGTTTCGGCTAATCAGGAGCCCAACCCTTTCATGCCACTTAATTCCTAATAAACAGACACGAAATAGTCGAATTGAAATGTTTTTAGTCTTTAACCTTGATATCCCATTTATATATTTTTACGAGTAATTACTTGGTCTGGTACGAAAGGAATTCAGAATAACAAATGTGGCTAAATCTTATTACTGCCAAGTACTAAGTGCGCGCTTCAATATAACGACCCAAGCAAAATGTTGAGTTAGCTAAATGATATTGCCCGCCAGCTGAAAAGTAACCTCTAATTTGAATCGAATGATTTATCATTTAGATAAACTCAGACAATAGCACACAAAAGACGGCAAAATAACAATATTCAAAAATGCTTGAATGCAGAATAAACGTCTAATCGGCAGAAAATTTATTACCAAAAAACTCGTGCGCAATCTCCGGCCACTTAGAAGGCCATTATCATCGACTTACGGAGTTTAGTCTGCCCTGTAATTGTCGTGGCCTGCGGGTACTCATTGGTGGCCCACTTATAATAGTTTCGTTGAGCGCTTCGTGTTAAGCCTATAACTTTCGAACAAACGGTTGTCAAA